AGATGAGCAGATCGTCCAGCCCCTCCGACCCGGACTCTTCCATCCCCTCAAAGATGAACTGGACATGGAAGGAGATTCATACTTCAGTCATGAGTGAACGGCGGTCTATCATAAAAACATGGCTCAGGCCACACCAATTTAATTGTTGGTTCTCGTATTCGCCTCTTCATTTTTTCCTGATTTGACAAAAAAAAAAAAATTCAGAATCAAATGCAAAATGCTCATATTTTGTCCTGAACAGTTTAGAACAGTCCTTTTCTTCCTAGTTGTTACAGTTATTCCATCTTTCAATGCAGTGGTATCATTAGAAGTTCAAAATTCATTGTTTAAATTTTGAACCAGCCTTTTGTGTTGACTTCATACCTCCTATCGTAGCATTTGGGGCTATAATAGGATGCCTAGATCTGTTTTTATTTTTATTTTTTTTCGCCCTGTCGCTTCATATTTTTTCTGAAAAAATCCGAGAACCAACAAATTAAATTGGTGTGGCCTAATGTATATGTTAGGGGTTGAGACTCCAATGTGGTAAAATATACCACTCTAAGTTAAGTGATGCATACCAGTTCACTGGACTTGGATCCGGACTTGTAAGAATGTTTAGGTTCAAGTCCAAAAAAAACCTAAAAGTCAAGAACCAAGTCCAGACTTATTACCATAAAAGACCATTTCACATACCCCTTTTCTTTCCAAACCACCTAAAACCTTCCGTAGATTGTAAAATCTTTGCTGTAAAACGAAGAAAACATTGCCATCGGGCATCGTCAAGTACCGGGCTCCATGTTATGTGGCCAAAGTTTCACCCAGACAACATTGCAAGGTTGCCAACATTCAATTTTGTATATGCCATGGGTTTAGGTCTGGACTTACACGTCCGGAACTGAACCTAAACCTCTGGACTTGAATCTGGACCTGAACCTAAAATTGGGTTTAGGTATGCATCACTAACTCTATGTCTTTGTGGATAAAACAGAGCCTCTGATCAGGCTGCTGTTAATGTGTTAGGTTGGTTTTCCATTTACAAATTGTTAGGGTAGAGACTCTGATCTGATAGAGGCACCAATTGGAGTCTTTGTCACCAGAGACTCCGATCAGGATGCTGTTAATGTGTTAGATTATTTTCCCATTCACAAATCCTAAATTTCAAGTCAGTCCACTGATCTAAAGTGACATGAATGAAAGTTTAAAGTTTCTGTCTTTTAAGCAAATATCATAGAATAATTCAATTTTCAAGCTCCAGTTGTGATCTCTGTCAGTCAATTCTACTGGCAGAGATCTTGATTGGAGTTTCTGTAGACAGAGACTGTTACCAGGTTAGGGCCTCTATGATTCTACCACATCAGAGTCTCTACCCTGACTTATGTATATGGTGTTTCTATGGTGTACAATATCTAGAATTTGCTATAGCTGATAACATTTGGGAAGGAAATTTGTTGTAGCAAAACAAAACTGCTGTATCGTTCACCAGTATGGATGAAAATTTGTGGACAAAGACTCATATAGTCATTATGAAAAACTTAAACTTTTCTCCAACTCAAAATTTGACTCACCAGAAATTTTCGACCGAATCACTCAGTCTTCCTCAGCTATCTGACCCAAATGCTGTGGACACGTGATTTTTCCCACGTGTGACGTCAGCAAAGGGTCAAAGGTTGTCTGAAGTCGATATCGCCCCCCCCCCCCGCGTCCGAGCGATGGTTGAAGTGCCCTGATGTATATGGCCTCTTTTATGCCTCTCTTGAAGTAATCCTGTTCAGTGTCCAAGGTGGGAAAAATCACGTGTCCACAGCATTTGGGTCAGATAGCTGAGGAAGACTGAGTGATTCAGTCGAAAATTTCTGGTGAGTCAAATTTTGAGTTGGAGAACAGTTTAAGTTTTTCATAATGTAATTTACCAACTTCAAAAGAACTTTCATGCAGACTCATATAGTCGTTGATATGTTAAAGGAGATAAGGCAGTTCCTATGGTATGTCATTGTCTTACCATAGGAACTACTTTATCTACAGGAAGTAGTCAAGGTCGCAGAACACAGTAATTATCCGCGACCCCCGAAGTCTATGACGCAGGTATAGAAAGTAGTGCAGACAAACCTCTTGCATCCTGGCTAAAGCGACTTATGTGAGAGACAGCCATGAATGAACTGCACTGTGTGGTAAGGAAAGGTATCGGCTTGTACACAGTATGAGTTGGATTGTGAAGATTTCCCTGTTCGTGTATAAATGCGCGGCATTACGCAACCACGTTCCAGGGTGAGCCGGCTGCAGTTCCGTTGACCCCTGTAGAGGGCCAAATCAAAGTGGTCGTCATTATGTTTAAAAAAACGATAACTTTTTTTGGTTTTCAGTTATTTTGTAGAATATACCATATATTTCAACATATTAGTTGGCCGTGATTCAATAGTGCACCCTACTATAATTTTTACCGCGTCGAAGTGAGTCACCTCGGGGTGCTTAACTATAGGAATCCCCATAGGCCGAAAACTGTGTTCTGCTACCTTAACATATCAATGACTATTTGAGTCTTTGTTATGTTCAACCGTTTCTTCCAGTCCAGAATTTATCTCCGTAAGGCCTAGGAGGGGTCCACAAACCAAAAAAAGGCTAGAGTTGGGTGTTTTTTCTAGGGTCGGTTGGGAAACAGGAAACAAAGCATTTTTCCTAGACCTAGTTCATCCAGTAGTAGAGTTTGGATTTTCTGCAACTATTGTTTACCAGGATGTCTAACCCTCACCGACGTGACTCTGACACGTTTTTGTTTGTTACAGAGGAGCGGGCGGCGCGACCCAGACTGAAGCTGGCGCCGCGCACCGTGGGCAAACCCGTCAACGCCGTCGCCAATCCACAGTCGTCGATCTTCGGTGGCGCCAAGCCCCGGGACGAGCGGGAGTACGAAGAGCGCAGGGAGAAGGAGCGCTCGCGTACGACTAGCGAGAGTAGCCAAAGGAGCGAGTCCTAAACTTCGCTCCACCTTCAACCCCCTTCTAGGGCTAGCTCTGGTCCTGTTTAGAAATGGCAGTGTACATGTAGATAGGGTTCTAGGCTGACGATAATAATAAATGTACGACATGCTGTCTTAGTACTACTAGCTTTGGATTGGATTTTGTATAAAATTCCTCTGATTGTTTGGGGGGTTCGTGTATGGAGCTTTCTGATTCGATGGGGCTCTGTGTATAGAGCCTTCTGATTGGTTGAGGTTCTGTGTACGGAGCCTTGTGATTAGTTGAGGTTCCGTATACAACACTAATGGATTGTAGCGTCACTGACGAGATATACAGAGGATAGCAAAGAACCTTGGGAGTTTTGTACACAACCGTAACAAAATAAATATAAGCAAATATAGATGGTACAAGCTGTACTGTCCTTCAACCTTCCTCAATTTTGCCTTCTAACAATCTCATGGTCAAGTACATACATGCACCAGCGTGGTGCATAAAGAATTGCTTATCAACTTTTTTTTGTTGCTTGGACATAACATTTCCCGGTAGACGAATTTGTGTGTTGTCATGTTGTTCATTGCATATATTACTAGTAACTTGTACAGAACAAGGGCAGGTATATATACAAATGTGCTTGTATATTGCGGCCGCCGTGTGTACAACGGTACTTCCACGCAGTCCTAGTGAATGTCTGGTGTAATGTGAGTAATGCCTCTCAGAGACACGTTATCTGAGATACTGTATTTTAAGACATGTTGTCCAAACTATATAGTGCAAGAGTGTTCATTTTTTTTCCTTACCGGCGAAGGAAAGTATCCAAAAAAGCCGAGGAAAAAGTCTGACTTATGTGAGGAAAAATAGAGGCCATTTTAGTTAAAAGTTCCAGTGTATATCCCGAAGATTGGTGCCTTAGCACCACGAGTGTTAGGAGACTTTAAAACTGCACAGCCAAGGGGGTTGACTATGTTTTGTGTGAAGGAGGTCTGTTGAACTTACTTTAGGCATGACTGTGTACACATGAGTACACACAACAGCAGTTGATTGCCATCCACAGCATCTGAGTAGCAAATGACTTGCAGACTCAATAAAATTTCCTTTTTTCGTTAAAAAACAGCCTGATGTTCTGTCATTTACATTTATGCCTAGATTAATGGTATAGACTTTGCAAGAGGATATTTTGTGAACCATAATCAACAACAGAGAATGAGAGTTGACAAAGCAGTCTTTGTACTTTGTTGTATTTGTTATATTGACAAGAGTTCTGACTAACTAACCAAGTAACATGACAATTACAAAAAATAGTATTAAGTTACAAGGAAGGCACATTTATTTCCATACCCTTACCTACATTGGTCAGAGCCATTTCTGTTAACAAAGTGGATGACTTTTACACTAACTTGGAATTGAGCACAAGAATTATAATTATTATACATCAATGCTGGGTAACAATGCTCTTGTAGTAAAAAATTATCAGTGCACACAAAAAGGACTTCAAAACAAGATTTCCACTGAATTTCCATAAATCTTCATAGTCACAACCCCCAGCATGAAAGGATGTACTGGTAATCTCTGTTGGATCAGATTCCATGATACAAAACAGACCTTGTTGTTTACAACTAACTATGAAATATATAGTCATTAATCTAAAATGATTCAAAAAAAGGTCAGAAAAGGTTATTTTAGTACTATGCTGAAGCATAATACGAGACGGCAGCAAGTTGTCTTGGTCACTTTGTCTTTGCCTCCACCTATGAGAAACAAAGGAGAAAAAGGTACCATGGTATGGACTGAAATATAATTACATAAAAGGTAACATTATTACACAAGAGAATGTGACAAATTTTGTTGAACACTTTTAACAGCCCAAAGCCACAACTGTGGTATTCAAGCCAGTACCAGTAAATTCCACAAAATAATTGATCACTCAATGTTATTGTACCATTTATTACAACAACCGGTATCATTGAGACAGTCTAGCAATTTATCAAATTGTTATTTTTCACCACTTAGGAGGCAGCCTAGTAATTCTGGAGCCTACCTTGAGTGTCTTCTGCAGTCTCTGCAGAGTTTTCTGGTACCTGGGCACCAGTGGCTGGAGGTCTGTCCCTGACAGGGACCAGGGCTGGGGCTCATCCTTCCCTGCCTGTTTCAACATTCGACGGAATCTCTTCTCCTGAAACAGTCAAATCACAGTCACAAGAAATATAGGATGTTTCTAATGATTGTGATACTTTTCATGCTATGCATACATACCGTAGCTACTTAAGGTAAAAGGGCCAAATTTCCAGGACTACAGAGGCTGTAAGAAAGCATGCATCCAGAGCCACCCCTACTCCAGCTACCCACCAACTGCATGACCTGTGGCAAAGCCCGTATAGGACTAGTGAGCCTCAGCCGGACACACAGAACTTGATGTGATGTCCTGGTCAGCGACAAGGACAACAGACAAACAACAACAGAAAGTAAAAAGGCCAAATTTCCTGTAAACAACTTGTATTTACAAATTTCCTGTAAACAACTGTCTTTAGAAGCACTTAACGAGAGCAATGTCAGACTTTCCTAAGTCTGTGACACTTTCAAAGCACACAGTTTTTAAAAGTTTCTGAATCCACCTCTTCCTGTAGCACCAATGAGAAAGCGGTTCCCTCCTTCCCAGCTCGAGCCGTCCTCCCCACCCTGTGGATGTAAGTCTTCACGTATGGCGGGACATCATACGAGATCACAACCTCAACACCTTCCACATCCATGCCACGTGCCATGGCATCTGAACAGACAATACTGTGGAAAAAAACAAGAAAACTGTTATGAGTCTCCACCCAACTTTCTAAGAGATTACGAAAGAGGGTCTTGCCCATGCAAATATTTTAGATGAGCATAAATGTGCCAAGTGAGACATAGAAGCCATCTTTGTATAGAAGCCATCTTGGGAAACACATGATGTGTTTTTGAGTAATAAGTCCTCCCAATAACACATTTGGATTTCAATGGTGATACATTGTACATGTATTTCTAAACAATATCTATGGTACTTACAGCTGAATCTTGCCTGTCCTGAATTTGGTCAGGATTTTTGTTCTTCTCTCAGGAGGTAAGTTGGAGGAAAACTCTGCCACTGTCACTCCACCAAACAGCTTAGCAAGCAGGTACAGCCTGTTGGAATACATGTGTATAGGCAAACATGTGAATGTAAGGTACATGAAGTAACAATGCTATGGTGTTAGACAAACTTGTAATGGTGGAAGGGCCTATCACTCAACTGCAAAAGGAGCCTTTTGTTTTTCAGATACCTTTGATGGTGTTTGACCCAATGTTGATGTCACACTTTAGAGAAGCCATGTGACAAGTCTCACTGGGTCAGACTATTGACCAGAGTGGCTGGTCGAAAGCTTTTCTTGTGTTCTCTTGTGTTGGAACAAAAGTTTTAACTCTAATCATGAAATGAATAATGTTTTGCCTTACCTGTGTGTTGATTCCAGAGAGCCTGTGAAACACAGAACGTGTTGGAACTTCTGGTTCAGGAGCAGGTGCAGAACAACCAGAGGCTTGTCTGCTGCTGTACAACTCACCGTGTACTCCTGCAAAATATGTCAAATCATTGGTGGCATCATAATGTTCAGTGCTTTCAGCTCCATACCAAGAGCTCCGGGTTCGATCCCCTGACATGGCCGATGTTGTGCCCTTGGGAAAGGTACATATTAAGACTTTCCTCACTTCACTCATCAGGTGTAAATGAGTACGGTTAGGAACATGGTCCAAATTCTACTGTCTGGAAGTTGGTGATTCACTACAAATCACCCGGATGGGGGCTTGGCAAACGCCCATTTTGTAAAAGTCAGGAATACATGCCAATTTCTAAGCAGATGAAGACGATTCATACAATGTGTACTTGAGTACATGTGTGCTTTATTCACAGTTGTTAGAAATGTGACTGTGGGTCTTAGAACAGTCAAATTTTACCTTCAGACCAGCAGGAGTGGTGAATTTGCCCACAAATGTTCCCTTGTCCTGCAAGGCCCCAGGCGAGGCTGTCTCCTGTTTCCTCTGCCCGTGCCTGACTACAGAAGTGAAGAGTCTCGGGTGGAACAGGTTCAGCTGCTGCAGCTTCTCAGGGTTCTGAGACAGGGTGGCCGAGAACAGGAGCTTCTGTAGCTGGAAAACAATTTGATATACACGTACGATGTATGAAAGTAAGTACAACACACCTACAGTAGTAAGTTTCACATGTAGATCTACTAAGGGATAACAAATCTTCTGATTTTAGATTTATGATCCAGAACCTCTCACCACTAACATAGGAAGATCCTTGGGAAGAGATACTTCCTTAATCATGATTGGTACATGTACCAGCAACATTCAAGTCATTACTGCACTTTCTGTAGCTACTAGCTTGCAATCACTAGCAGAACATATACAATCTAGAAAACTGGTGAAGATTCTTACTGGTTGCTGCATCTTGGCAGCGTTGGCAGCCGTCAGGGGCCCGGGCTCTGTCCTCCCTCCAAGTACACCTGCCCAGAGGCTCATGGGAATGCCAGGCTTGTCCTCTGACCCCTGACCCTCGTACACGGCCCGGGTGACCTTTGCGAGCCAGTCCTGTTTGATCTGGTCCAGCATCCTGTCTGCTTCATCTATTACCTGATACAGGGAAAAAACACATCATTTTTCTTGCACACATGTATATTTTGATTGTACAGATACTCCTTAAGAAGATGTCTGGCGGCAAGAGCGTTAAGGTTAGAACTGGCCATCTAGAGAGAGTCTGGGCAGCTGAAGGCTCTCCCTAGATGGCCAGTTCTAACCGTAACGCTTTTGCTACCAGACATCTGCTTGGAGATAATGTACAGATGTTTTAAAGCACTGGTAGGAAAAGTTCCATTGCATGGGATAGTAGCAAAGTCAAGCTGTCTAAAAAAAAACAGGAAAAGAAAAAACCCTACCAGGTAGCGAAGGTGCCTCAGACTGAAGCCTGCCGTCTTTTCAATGTGGTCCACAAGTCGTCCTGGTGTCGCCACCACAATGTCGGCAAGGCTCTGATACACTCCACGGCTACAGAAAAACATCTCAACATTAGTGCAAATACTTAGTATTGGAAATGTTCTGAACAAAATAGTTACACTGTTTGGTTGTATGGTTTTGATGTAAACCAACAACTTATGTTCACTGGAAGCTTTCCTTGTAAGCATGAAGAGAAATAATATGACTGATTATATGATTAATCTACATATCAATAGTTGATATGTGGTGATTTTGAAATTTCTATCAAACATGAATTTTGAAAGTGACACACACTTTAACTATTGTATTGATTGTTCCATTTTCATTCTCAAAGCATAACATGAAATGTACGTTCTTTCCTTCATGAATGTTTACCATTATTCCTCAAAGGACATTATCTTTACCTCTCTCTAACCAGTGCATTTCTTTCCACAGCTAGACTCTTCTGTCCTGAACAGTTGGCCACCTTGAGTCGTGACCCGCTGGTGTAGTGGTTGAACACTTTGTAGATCTGTACGGCCAGGTCTTTGGTTGGTAAGACCACCAGTGCTCTAACTTCACACACCACTCTTTGTAATAGAGCCTGGGAGGAGGTTAACAATAAGTTTGATTGTGACTGCATAATCAAACATATGGTTGCAAAAAAACTTAACTTTTTTGTGTGTTTTGCTTGAATTTTAGTATATTACATCAACAACTTTGTGAGTGTTAATCTAGCCTACATAATGTGTTTTAGGCAGGTTTTACATTTTAGCTTTGTTTCATGGTAGTTTTCTAAATTCTTGATACCAACTCACTACTGGTAACAATTTCAACTACAATTTCCATAAAACAAGTACAATACGTGACTACATAAGAAATATGACAGTAACATTTCATGTAGAGTTAGAAACTAATGAGAATGCACATACCTGTACTACAGGTATGACGAAGGCTAAGGTCTTGCCACTGCCAGTAGGGGCAGACACACAAATGTCACTTGGCCTGAAGCCTGCCCTCCCCATGATAGTCCCATCCTGAGCATCCTCCAGTATAGCTGGGATAACCTGGTGCTGGACTGGGAAAAAATTCTCCACGCCGTTTTCCTTCAATTTGTTTCGAAGGAATTCCCCAATGCAGGGGGTATCTTCGATGGGGACGAGATTTGATTGGATGTCGTTCTCTATGACAGACGGGTCGGCCAGCCAATCAGGAAGCTTCCTGTGGACTTTCTCTGCCTTGTTTTTCTGCACTTCTCCAAGAACTTGAAAAGCTTCAGACTCCTCGTCTTCGTCTTTCTTGTTCTTTTGCTTCTTGCTCTGTTTGTTGGGTGTTTTGTCATCTTTCTGACTGGCTTGTGACAACTCTTCATATGTTTCTTTAGCAAAATCACTTCCCTGACTTTCATAATCCATATCCTCTGTGATTGTATCTTTTGCATCATTATCTGTGCTATTGTCTCTCTTTGCTTGTTTATTTTGCTTGCTTTGTTTTTTGTCGGTGTCTGCATCAGCCATGGATGATGTTTCCTCACTTTTTGCCTTCTTAGCTTTTGCTTTGTTCAACTTATCCATCTTAGGTGTTGTTTCTTCACCATTTTTGACTTCACCTTTCTCAGTTTTCGCCTTTTTCTTCTTACCCATTGCAGCTTCTTTAATACTTGTTTGTGATACTTCTACTTGAATACCGTCATTCTCTTCAGTCTGATTGGTGTTCTTCTTCCTTTTCTGTTCCTTCATACTTTTAGTCTTGTCTGTTTTCTTTTTCTGTCCATTGACAATTGTTGAACCGCTCTTCGTAACCAAAGGTTCAGAACTGATTGGGTCATTTGCTTCAGACATACTAGTTATTTCGTTGTCCTTGTTTGGTTTCTTTGAGGTGGGCATCTCTGCTGACTTTGGCACTAGTGTTTCCTTTTTTCCTTTGTTCTTCTTCTTGCTTGAAACTTTTATCTTTTGAGATGTCGGCATCTCTTCTTCAGCTTCATTGCTGTTATTCTCTTCAACAGTTTTTCCACTGGGCTTGAATTTCTTGTTGCCTGAGGATGACTCCTGCACTTCTTGTTTCCTCTTCTTCAACTTTGGAGACATCGCTCCATTATCTTTGCAACTTGAACTTACACGAAGTTCTTCATTTGATGCACTCTTTCTACTTGCTTTCTTGTCTTGCTCTTTCTTTCTTTTCTTCAGTCCTTTCTTGGCCACTTCTGTAGGCTCATCCTTTGATCTGCCCTTCTCAGTAGTCTTATCTACAGTTGTGTCAACAGAAGATTGTGATGTCGCAGGGCCATTTTGTATGGACTTCTCCTGTCGCTGTCTGGCATCCTTGTGGAGTTTTGCCAGGATGTCATTGGCTGATTGGTTGCCATGGAGACCTCTACTGCTGCTGTAGGTGGCAACATCCTCCTCTTCACCGAGGTATCTATGGTATTGAAATGAATAACATATAAATATACATATATATATCACAATAAACTATGTCAATGCATATCAGCCTGTATACACGTATGCACCTATGAGGTCTTTATATGACAATCGGTATATCTAAAAGGCAACAAAACAATGTAACGTGATACATAAAAATTAATTTTTTCCATAGTACGTGTATCAAATTGAATGCACACTATGTTGTAGTATCATAGTAAGTTATGCAATGTTTAGTAACATTACATAGAAGTAGTTACATCTAAATCTACGTATTACTTTAAGTCTTTACGAAATCCTAAATCTAGATTTCTATTGAACCTCCTTGCATCAGTCAAATTCTTACCGGTTGACTGTAAAGAGAGCCATGGTGAACTCGTGGTAGAATGATCCAAACTGCAATTCAAGATATTTTGGTTGCTCACTCTCCAACAATATACGGAATTTTATGAAATACGATCATTCCATACTCCCTGATACGTTAGTTGTTAGCACAATATCCATATACAGCTTCAAATTCCTCGAAAAACGAACAAATTACGATAAAACAAGTTTCTAGGAGCAGACGGATTTTTTTTCAGACGGGCGCAGCCATCTTGAAACCTGTTACACTCTCGCGAGATTTCGTAACCAATCAAAATCTGCCAACTAGGAATTTCGGCGCTTCCACTATTTGTTAGGGGATTTGGTTTTACGCAAGAAAAATTTTTATCTGTTATTGCTTGAAAAAGTGTACTTTTCTTGGATTAAACCACTAATAACATGTTTTCATTATAATTTTCTGCCGAAAAATGTCTGTTTACGAACTATCAGGAATCAGAATACTTAGCTCTAACAAAACACCCCTACATTGGAAAGTTCTGGTATTGTCCAAAGAAATGTTGCAACAACATGGCTTCCGAAGGTAAATGGTAAATGTGGCAAAAAGGTCAACCTTCTGGACATTTCAGCCTTACTACAGAAATACCCGAACGAGAAACAATCTGAACTCATCATGTGGTCGAGACTGAGCATCATCTTGATCTTTCTGTGCGGTTTCGTCTTCGCTTTTTTCGTCACCACCATTCCAGGACCCCATTTCCTATGGCTGACGTTTCGGAGGATTCCTTTGGCCAGTAGTTTGAACTTCGGAGAAGACGGAAGTCCACAACAGCCTGTGGTGTCCACGGGTTTGGATTTACCGACAGAACATGGCAAGGCGAGGGCAGATTATCCACTCACTCTACCAGCACAGCTGCAATCTAAGACCACCCAGAAAGCAGGTAGGAATGAGTTATGTAATTTTTGGGGCCTGGGGGTGGGTAATTGACAGCTGTCATCAGTTTCCGCCACGCCCATAGTTGTCTATTTTTCTCTAGAACATCACTAGTTCTCTCGTGTTCATTTGTGGTATTAAGCATATGTTGAAGTGCAGTCAACTGAAAAGGGTTGTGTATCATGTATAAAATCAAATTCGTAGGCTCAGATAGTCAGATGTGTAAACTGACTGCTGTAAACAACTGTTAGAAATGTTTAGTAGACTCTTCTTCACAATCTGAAGAAAGTTAAGGTGTCGGAAAGTCTCCGACATCCTTCACTTGTTCCGCACTTTGTGTACCCTGTTATGGCATTGTCCTTGGGCATTGTTTCTCAATTTGGATATTACAAATTTATTAGAATACTTAACATATGTTGCATGACATATATATATGTATATACATTGTGTATACAATGGAAGAAATGATACCAGTAAAATGTTTTCAGGACTTAAGAACTGTCCCGTACAGAATGTACCATTAGGTAAGCCCAAAAATATGAGAAGACTACGTATATATGTTTTTCTCAGATCACAGTGGAGAAGTGGCCGCGTCACTCCACCTAGCGAAGGAGATGAGACTGCACGGGAAACGTGACAAGGCCACCAAGCTGTACCAACACGCGCTGGCCCTGGACCCGCACAATGTGGAGGTACTGACATTTTATTTACAAAAAATGACTCATTTTAAGAGTAGAGTAGAGTAGAGTAGATGTCTTCGGCCACGTAGGAGCTTAGGTTCCAGTTTAGGCCGCTCATCACTTTCAGTGCACCGACATTTCTGGCTTCTGAGGATGGTCCAGATCTCTGTAGTCGAACATCAGGTTTTTCTCTTTCATGTGTAAGTCTAGTCTTGCCTTGAAAGCGTTCACGCTAGGTGACGTCACTACAGTCTCTGGTAGGTTATTCCACCATACCTCCATTCTGTTGGCAAAGAAGCAGGCCCTTTTGTTGCCATTGATGCAACATAACATTACACTGACTTACAGGCAGCTGGCCATGGGCTGATATTCATAAGTCAACAATTATACATAGTACGGGGACAATAGGTAACATTACACAGATACAATGGTTTGTAATTAAACCAGCTGACAGTTTTAAATCTATATCTCACTCTTATACAAAATATAATATGTGCTGTAATGTGCTGTGAATAAATCAATGCTACATATATGTTACGTTGACAGGTTCTGACAGAGTATGGGGAGTTTCTGGAGGAGGAACACAACTACATGGAGGCTGACCACATGTACACTAAAGCCCTGACTGTCCGTCCTGGACACACACAGGTAAGGTTGCCAGGTTCCATCAGCTTTTACTATAAGTTTGATAGTGTAATCTGTTAACTTCTGGCAAGAAAATACTAGAATAAGGCGTATGTCAGTCAGTTGTCAAAGTCATAAGCGTACTTCCTTAATTACTGTTCTTAATGCCAGTCCCAGCATGTAGGGCAGCGTCAAAAGCACACAAATTGCTTCTGTCCTTGGCTTTTGCCTGGAAGCTGTCCCAAGTGTGCTTGAAACTCTTCAGCTCTTCACCAAGTGATCTTAGGCTGTCCTTGTTTTCTTTTCCTTACCGGTGTCATAAGCCATAAGCATAGGCAGTTGCCTGTTATTTACCGGTTCAGTGCCAAAATATATGTAGAATGATTGATTTTTAGACTAGACATGTAGCCTTGAATGAAAGAGTGTTATAAGTTGTATGCTTTTTATTTTGCTTTCAGGCCCTCACTAACCGTCTGCGTACGCTGCCACAAGTCATGGAATATGAGAGAAGGTATTTCACCGCCATCGACAAGAAGAGAGACCTTCTCATCCAGGTCCCCCTCAACAACGCGGCCCTCCGCCGCATCAAGCAGGAGTCCTACTACTTCTACATCTACCACACCAACGCCATCGAGGGGAACACTCTGTCCCTCGGACAGACCAGGGCAATCCTGGAAACCAGGATGGCAGTCGGTGGAAAGAGCATTGTGGAACACAACGAGGTGATCGGTATGGATGAAGCTATGAAATACCTCAACAACACTCTGATGGACAGGATTGGAGCGATCAGGATAGAGGACATCATGGAGATCCATCGCAGAGTGTTGGGCCACTGTGATCCACTAGACGCGGGGCACTACCGAAGGACACAGGTTTACGTAGGAAGGCACATCCCCCCGCATCCTATCGAAGTGGAGAACAAGATGCTTGAGTTTAACGAGTGGTTGAACTCGGACGAGGCTCTGAGCCTACACCCGATTCAGTTCGCCGCCATCGCTCACTACAAGCTAGTGTTCATCCATCCGTTTGTGGATGGTAATGGCAGGACAGCGAGGTTACTTATGAACCTCATCCTCATGCAGGCAGGGTTTCCACCGGTCACGATAAAACTGGAGGAGAGACACGAGTACTACGAAGCCCTGGTCAAAGCCAACGAGGGAGATGTCCGACCATTCGTACAGTTTGTGGCCAAGTGCACAGAGAGAACATTGGACGAGTACCTCTACGCTGTGGAGGAAAACCCCACCAAAGACTGGCCGCATTTATCAAGGCTTGATGACGGGAAAGTCATCATTATCGACTGAAAAGTCACCAGAAGAAGAAAAATCACCCTTGCCATTTTCAGTGGTAGTGAGCTCCTTAAATGTTCTCATTTGACAATGATTTAGTATTTATCATCTTTGACTTGTGTATATGTTTTAGTGCCAAATGCTGTATTTATTACAACAAAACCTTTCTGTGCTTCTCTGTCTTTTACCAGGTGATGATGATTCTAAATCATATAGCTTGTGTCTGACAGGCCTATTTCCTTGACAGTGTACTGGGAACTGGAATATTTTGATGCCCAGTTTTATTTTTGTTTCAGTTTATTTCTTTATTAATGAAATATGTATGTTGTATTGACCCACACAATTTTGATTTCCAGCCACAAAATGTTGTCGTAAAAGTTGGCATGAAAACTTCTCATTTACAAAATTTTCAAATCTAGCAACACTGACTCAATTTAGTTTCTAGGAGAAATACACGATACAACAAAGAAACAACATGATGACAGTATCGTGTGTTGGTATATCCTGCTTCAGAATGGATTCTACCAACATTGATGAACTTTACAGTTATAATGGCTTGTACTGGATACAAGGAATAGGAACACTTATAAACTAGACTAGATACAACTATCAGTACATATAACTGAGTCAGTTGCAAAGGTTACACCAGTCTCAACCACTGCCATCTCCTTCCAATCCAAAGTGATTTTTTTTCAAAGATTTTTAAATGCTACCTTCCTGTTTAGTCCATAAATTCTCCCGTAAAGTGTCTTGAATTAATTTTTTTTAAATGTCATCTTTGAATTGCATGAAAATGTGCAGAAAATTATGACCAATGTTGTACCAAGTTTTATTGGTCCTTGTATAATAATTATCTTGCCATATTCACGAGTTCAGTGTGTTGAATCTGTAATTTACCTTCCGTGGATAGTGAAGGCATAATTGTATTATTTATGAATATGAAAAGAGTATATATATATATATTATCTGTAATATATTCATGTATAGTCAACAGATGTACATTTATGGAGAGAGTATCTATCTGTAAATATGTCTTATTTGTGTTAAGGGTAATGTGATGTTGAATAAAGAGCACTATCTACACTACCCAGATGTACTGATGATCAGTTTTCTTCATACTCATCTTTAGGTGCAGTGTTTTTGAAGATAATCCTATAAACTATTCTTCTTGATTTGGTTTTAGCACGAGATTAGTGTAGGTAAAAAAAAATCAAACAGTCCAAAAGTTTGCATACGAAAGCTTTCAACTGCACTTTGATTTCAAAGAGGAACAGTTGAACATCAAGATTGGCAGCAATTAGTTATCAATTAGAAATGACCTTAATTTTGTGATGACTATTTTTGCCAAAGCATGGCCAAAGATATACGCCCTTGGCCTTATTTTTGTTATGACTTTGTAGCACTTGTTTGCCCAGGTAATTATTGATGTCCACAGTCTGCTATGTACGTGTGACATGTACGTACAGACACTCCCCCTTCCTACACTTCCGTCATCGCACCGAAACTTTGACGTCTCCTTCCACCTTGTGACGTCTGGACTCAACCATCTCTGACACGAGGGGTATTCTTTAAAAAAGCGCAACCTCCCTTGCAATTGTTAGTAGTGCGGTTTATAGTATATTTCAATGTTCAAATGATAATTGTAAACATTTACGAGTTTGTTGTTTTGATCACGACACGGAAAATAAAAAAAAAACTATCAGGAAACGATGTTTCTTTCCCCGCGTAAACAAAAAAGTGTTTCCTTCCACCCTTATTGCCGTAGGGAACGTGTGCTCGCAGACAATGTTTACAAAATCAGCTCACTTTTAATCACGGCAAAGGCCAAGGACGAATTAACAAGAAAGGAGAATAAGAGGAAGTGAAACATAACACTGTCATATCAAACGTCACGAGAACTGTTCTAAGTGGAGGGAAAAAATGTTGCCAGCTTTTAAAGTAGGTGGGGCCGGATTATTGTAATTATGACAAAGTCTTACTAGTGAATACCTTGCCTCGGATAACCTTGAACACACCTAAAAGGTGGTGTTTCTACACTTTGCCACCGAATAATGCTATTCAAGAACCATACATAAACAAGTTACGGATGTATGCATCAAGTACAAAAAACCTAGTGAGATTTGGAAGGGTCACTGCATCAAAGTAAACCCAGTGAACCAAATCCAATCGAACTTGTTGGACACGTACAGTTCATAGTTCAAACGGCTGTATTCGCACATTTTTTTTTCGAGACCGCCAGACTGATTACAGACCAACATGAATACCATCGTGGGGAGGATACTGCACGCCGACTCAAAGAAGAAGAAAAGTCCTTCCACGAGTCCTAAGATATCTCGCCGGCGTGCCGGGGACATCACGGTGCTTCATGACACGGTGGTTCTGTCGAAAGTCACTCCGCGAGACACCGTCCCGATTCAGTGTCCGATTCCTGAACCACCGGAAACGACTCCGTGGTGCCCGATTCAACCACCTGAAACGTCGTCTGATCAGTCTGGAGATGAAGAAGAGGACATCGAGGCGGCAGGAGCGCGCTACTTGCGGCAAATGTCCGGAGTACGGAGACCAACCGTCACAGAAATAGTCACGGGAAACGAGTCCCACGACGACGACACAGGTAGATACATTTTCAGTCTACTCTCAAATTATTTATATATATATATAAGCTCCAAGCAGATCTTTTGGTGGCTACAAGGACAGTATCAATTGCAATGCAGGCAGTTCCCCGAAAGTTTGTCAACCCGAAGTAAAAGAAAAAGATATGAGAACAAAAAGAAAGACAGATAAAAATGGGAGATGGGCGTAAATGGTGTCAGTGGGTCAAATGGTTCATTTCATTTAGACCCACTAGTTGTCCATAAAACTAAAACACTATGTTCAGTTTTATTACATCTTGTGCCAAACTACTAAATGTGTACTGATGATGTAAATTGTGATCAGTGTGGACATTATTTCATCACCTTTTAAAATCGATGGACTTATAATTCAGTAGAACATAAATGATCCACCTCAGTGCGTATAAAATGAGAAAATTTGATTAAAGGGATCCGCCCAGTATCAATACATGTTTTGTACTCAGCCACTGCATGTATTACAGGTGGCTGCAATATTCCATCTTGACCCTAGGTGGCGCTGTAGCACGACCGACATTACTGTTTACTTTAAATACTATACGCCTCATAGTTTTCCGAGATATTGAATATACTATTTTGCACGTAGCTCTATCTTCCCCTGGGACTCTTTATCTAGATGTATAAAAGAAATTAGAAAGGCTTCATGAGGTTTGACACTCAGAGAGAAATAAACAGTACATAACAGCCTGGCCACAGACTCTCAGTGAAACGTTGCTAGTCTAATGTAAGGTTCTGTAACAAATTAACAATTCAATTTCTAAAGATTGTAACAGAAATGCAGAGGAAAGAATTCTGGGGCTTTGAGTATACCCAAGGGACTTAGCTCCTTGTAACAAACTAAGCTTCTGTCACAAATTACAATTCGACTTCTAGAGCTAGGTGGTAACAGAAAAGTGCAGGAAAGAACTGTGACGCGCAAGAGAGTGTGTGGGAACTGTGTAGGGTAAACCCCGTGTTACCAACTTTGTTTGCTTTTCGTGAGTGTACACACATGAGCTGCATGTAAACTATTTCCTGGTGCTTCTCCCTTGATGTTGGGGAAGTTTGCAGTCATTACTCCGGGGAATTTCAGTCACGCGTTTGTGTCTGTTTTACATGCTGGTTGACTTTGCGTCATTCAGCAAACATTCTCACACGTAATACACGCGATTTTGTTTTGATCCCAAGGGAAGAACGTTATTTACTTTACGCTAACCACGTGCACTTCCGCAATATTTCACCTGTCCTGTTCAATACCTTAATACCTTGATCTTATATTCAGTGATTTTACTTCGAATTTTTGCATGTGTTTAAAAATAGGCCATTGGATGAAACCAAGGAAGAAACTAACCTTACATGCATATTATGGCAATCATTCATAACTTTATCATTGCACTTAGGATTAAGCAGTTTTACTTCAGAGTTTTTGTTTGTTTTCTTCGTTGCTGGCACCAACATTGAAAACAGATTTTTTTCTGTTGGGCTAATGTCATAATCTTCAAATGTTGGCTTCTTTCCCAGTTGCGTGAGAAGTGAACTTTTAACCATGACACATCTGACAGCAGGCAGGGCCCGGCCCAGGCCTCCCAAGCCGCTTTTCTGAGTAATCGGTCACGCTTTGTTTTCTTTTGGTGTGTTTTTGTATGTCATTCCCTTCAACTTCAAGATCCCAGGTTATTGACAGCTAAATATCTGTATCTAAGTTCACATACATGTAGTTTTAAAAATCAGATTTCAAGCCTCCTTGGTAAATTTTATTACATGCTACAATAAAAATGAAAGTCACTCACATATTGGCCTTATTCCCATGACACAGACAACAGAGACAGCAACATATTGTTAAACCAGACTTTCTTGGAACATGATACAATCTAAGTTGCCTGTGCTGAATTATATAGTGCTCCCGAAATAGGCTCTTGACTGTATATAGTCTTACGTCACCACTGACACCCCACTATTGTTTTGCCAATGACTCAGTGACCCTGAAGCGCCCAAATATGGTAATGCCTGTTTGCAGATACGTCATTGTTTCACCAGCGGGATCGTCTCATCAAATCTATAGACTGTTTGTATTGATAAAGATCTGACTTGTTGATTTGTTGAAGTGTATACTGTGCCTTAAGTCCACACAACGCCGGAACGAGGAAGATGTACTTGTAGTACATCGGATATTAGCGTAGTTGAGACTTCCTGTATCTTCTGGAGTATTTCCTGGACTCTTGGCATGTCCCCTTAGAAGTACGGGATAGCTGGAACTTAAAATTAAAAATTGCCATGTACTTTATCGGTAACTTTTTGCACACAGTCGCTATTAAATGTTTGTCATGTCATTAGTCACACAGAAGTCATTAACATTCAAGTTTATGCAGCATATCTCAACTAATATTAATAAATCATTGTGTAAAAACACATTTCCTTCAAGCATAACTTTTTATGATACTTCAATATTCATCATATCAATTTCATAGACTTTTTGAGAAAAACAATAAAATTTTGCTTGCCCACTCTGAGTTTCGCAACGCACCCCATATCAATTACCTAATTTGCATACGTCCCGTCCCATACGGCACCGCGCAGGTCAGCGAGTCCTGTTCCAGGACAGAGGCGAGTCAGAAGACCTGTGATTCAACAACAACATTTCGTGTTGTTTAATCGCGAACAAAAGGAACTGCAACTTAACCGTTTAGACAGCTGAAGTCACATGGAACTCAGGAATCAATGACGAACGTCTGCGGGACAGAAATAGCCAATTACCGGGGTTCCGCCTTCGCAAAGTTTGTTGATCTTGCTCGAGTTTTACCGAGGGACACCGAAAGTATCGTCTGCTACTCCTCTTGGTGAACTTGAGGGGATTTTTCGCAGCTTCGAGGACTTTTTGGGGTCTCTTAAAGACCAGGAGAACTTTGTGTGGTGCCTTTGAGGTTTTCTGACGTGATATTTCTTCATTTATGCAACCAGATATGGAAGGGGGAGCGAGCGAGGCCGAAGAAGGCCCGTGGACCGAGCTACAGACGACCAGATCGGCGGAACCGCCCGAAGTCAACGACCAATTCGACACTCTCAAGCAGTGCTGGGCTGTGGCCTTTCCCGACCAAACTGTGCCGGATTTTGCCGACTTGACGCGACAGGAGATCGACCAGTACCTCGGCGAGAGGCGTAAGTCTACCGAGGACTTGAAACTTCGGTTAGAAAACGCTGAATACTGCGTAAAGTACCTGGAGTATATGCAGTATGTGAAGAGTAGTAGGGGAGGCGGAGTTAGGGGTGAGGTTGAGGCGGCGGACTCAGTACCCGGAAGTGACCCTGTTCTCACTCGAAGCGAACTCAGAGAAAACTACTCAGACGAAGAGTTCTACAGTGTTGACGATTTGGACCGTGAAACTATAAGAGCCAGCTTAAACGGAGAAAGTACAAGTGAAAGTGTCGGTACCCCAGACCAACAAACAGAAGGCACACCTGTGGACACACCTGTGGAGGAAGAACAAAGCCCGATGCAGAGCGAAAGAGACCTGTCTGTTTCGGAAAGTCTGTCCCCCATCGAAAGAGATCCTTTTGGAGAGAACAAGTTCAGCGAAACGTCGGTCAGAGACAGTATGATCAGCCTCGAAAGCCAGAACGTCGGCGACATTTGCGATCTGGACGAAATAGACCTGGATATGGACGACAACAACGACAAAGATATGAACGACGGTCCGAAAAATCTTCTGACCACTATGACAACAAACGACCGTGTGAGCATCCGCATCAAGAGAACCTACGACATCAGATCACAGGGCGACCGGAAGAGTATGATCTCCGTTGATTCGATTTCCAGCGATATCCCCGAGGATGAAGTATTTGAGAGCAGGAGGAAAGGTAATGCAGTTTTCCCCGGCTGGTTCCATCAGGCCGGTGCGGTGATTAAGTTTGTTACGGCAATCTCCAAGCAGGAAATCAAATTTGTAATGGTAGGCTAATCCAAGAGTCAGACTGAAGTGAAAAGCATTGATGATATAAATGCAGGGCTGTACCCCAAAATGTCCCCAGATTAATGAATTTAGAGTATGATGGTGCTAGGGTGAAAACCTGCTCTCCAAGCAGAGGTTTGGGTTTTGGCTTATTTTTGTTGTGTTAGGCTTTTTTTATCGGGGTTTCTTTTTGCACTGGAATTTATTTTGCGCCAACCCAACAAAAAAAGAAACCCGGCGGATAATATCACGGCAAAAATAAGCCAAAACCTATGCTTGGAGTTGGAGAGTAGTTAAACCATGCAAGGCAGTGTGCACATAGTCAGACTAAAAACACAGGTTCAAAATCAGTAAGATTTAGCTACATACAATTGGAGAGGGGCGGCACCATTGTTCAAAAAGGGGAAGAGAGACAGTCATACTCTTTTTTGACCTTCTGTAACCTAATTTTACCTCATAGACAAGAAAAGAAAGCTATTTTGTGTTAATAAGATAATTATTGTCCCAAGCGAAATTTGTAGTCTCACTTGAAGGTTGATTCAATTACGAGTATCAGGTTTAGCAGTTTTTCTCGTCCCACCCAAAATGGCAAACAGACTGACAAAGTTCCTCTTTTGACTGTATTATTGGATTAGAGGTGTCAAAAACACACGTGAAACATTAGATTGTTTTGCCAAAAGTTTCCCAAATCTATACAGAGTGGTAGTAAAACAGAACGACGGAAGATATGGATTATTATTGGTTTCACCAAAACAACTTTATATGCATTTCTGCTATTTATTTTTGTTCTTTTTTGGGACGTCTCTGTAGCTTTAGGTGGGCGTTATCATTTAACCCTACAAATGTCATGGGTCGATTACTACACCCACTTTTAATCAGCGATATCACTGGAAAGGTTAATGGGGTATGAAACAAAAAACATCACATTTGCCGAAACAATCATTACACTCTAGATAATTACGCACGTTGGACCACTTGAGGATAACCAAAGACGTTATCCTTGGAACAACACAGGATGGTATGTGCTATCCCATTGTGTAAGCATTCCCTGCACGGCGCATTCTTACGCCCCTGCCTCAGGTTTTCCTGGATACACGGAACCGGGAGTGTTGTGTTGTACTGTACTGTGGGGAGCTTTCTTCCTGTGTTTTGATTTGATTTGTCCTTCCTGGTTACATATGGGTTTCACGGCTGCATACAATTAAAATAGCCTTCAGCAAGTTTTAACTTTAGCTATAGGTAGTTTTTTCTTACCTTGATAATCATACATGGCTTCCTTCATTCAATATTTATTAATATTGAATCTGATACCAGCCATACAGCTTCGGCTATGGCCAAGGAGCAATCCAGCTCCTATGGATGAACAGTCTCTGTCACTTGTCTTTATACAGTGCACGTATATTTTCAATCAATACAAGGAAAATGAAATCATACCACTGTTGACATAAGCATGACGTTGAAAAATTGAAACTAGAGCTCCCAACAGCCTAAAAGCCACACAGCCCTTGCCTGGGTGCCAGACACTGGCATTCATAAACCAAAAATTTTTTTTAGACTTAGAGAAGCTCTAAATTAGTCTAATGTCTGCTGGAAGAGTATCTGCCGCCCAAAACCTTTTAGCAAAGAGATAATTAGAGCCAGGGTGCCAAATCAGGGTTTGTAAGGCGTATGGCTTCTCTGGCCAAAGGAATTATAACTCACTCGCTGAAGGGTCTGGCACCCAGGCTACACAGCCCAGTCATGCCCCAGATGTGCCGAAAATGCTTGATAGGATTAACGCTTATTAATGACAACTGGGAGACTGATAATCAGGGGCTTTTTCCCCTGACAGCATCAATTATTTATAGCAGAATTGTTTGTTAGTGTGTCAGTCGGGAGCACTAAAGCTAGGGGAGGTTGATTGAGATGTGCTCCTCATTGTAGTTTTAGTTTGCTATTATTGATTCAAATTATTAGAGGTGCAAAATAGATAATTATCTTACTGTTAACATGAATATATTAGTAGTACCAAGGACATTATACACGTCCTTGGTAGTACCAAGGAGCTTTCATCAACAAAGCTCCTTGGTAGTACTAGAAATAAGAATGTAAATATTGCTGAATTTAGATCCTGCTTTCATCGACCTTTGGTACGTAATCTATGTAATGTGAAGTTTCAGTTTCAGTTTCAGTAGACACAAAATCTTTCAAATCAACAATCCTCATTTTATAGAAGAAGAAGAAGAAGAAAAACTTTATTGCACAACAGATGTAGCGGGTACGACGTATGGCAAAATATGCATACATAGTTGGGGATGCTAACATACATACATATTAATGACTTTTTAACTTTCATTCATACACTCAGTCTCACACATGCACATGGTAGATATTCGTGCAGATAAAAGAACTCTTGAATGTTTGATTTTGGACAAAAAAAGCAGTAATTTTCTCCTCAGTGGTGCGAATTGGGCATATCACAGGGGAGGAGTTCCCATAGGGTCTTATTGATGCAGACCAGATGGTCTTTGTACAAAATAAGGTGCCAAATAGACATGTGCCCTCTGGGTCTGTTTGTTGAAGCTACATAGCTTGCTGACAGGTCTGTGCTACTGTGCAGACACATCAGAAGTAAGACTGGAGAGACAGACAATTAATTCTTAGGAAGGCTGACAGGCACTTCCTCAAGTCAAGGACATACAGTATACAATGCCCTTTGCCAGATAGACAGATAGTTAGGTGCAGGAACAAGAATATTCAGATAACTTTGATTTTTTGAAGCTAAAATATAACTCCTATGTTGAATCTATCTTTAACTTAGACATATTGTAGTTCAAACTGTGCAAGAGTTATGATTCAGACTTGAACTTGAAGCTTCTAAAGTGAAGTCGTGAGACAATTTCACCTTTAGTTTGCTAAGGTAGCTGTTTTGACTTGAACCATGTTCAAGAACAGAAATTTTTAGGACAAGGTTAAACAATTATGTAAGATAATCCAAACTGTTTTCTGGTTCATAGAAGGCATGTTTTTACCAAGTCAAGTCAACGAAATGTTGTAGGTGGTATCTTGATTGATGAGAGTTAAGTTTACCACAGATACGTGTTAACAGATACATGTAGGTGTGTTGTCACCTTCACTACATGGTGATAATACACACTACCCACATGGGCCCCAAGTTGAAGCCCTTCAGGCCAGACAGGCCAGGCTTAGTTACTGTCAAGTTGGATCAGGTGAGACTACTTTAGATGATTGATTACTTCAAGCAAACATCAGCAACGCAAACACTGTATGCTGTATACTTCTAGTATGTTCATGTAACGTCGCTTGGCATCATATTTCATCCCAGAAAAACTAACAAAGAAGCCATTCTGGGTAAGGACAGGTGTACATACTAATAACCTGGTCTAGATCTAGTTAAGCAAACATACATTTGGTATATGGCAGTGGGGGACTTAAGGGTTTGTATTTTGTACACTGTACATGTATTCCAGGACTATGTGTAACTTTTGGTCCAGATACATGTACATTCCTGAAACATTATTGTTCAGCATTTGTGTAATGTATGATTTATACTGTTGAAAATGCTTCTGAATCAGTTTATTTGTATAGTGAACATACAGGTCATTGACCTGTTTTAGAGGAAATCCTTTAAGCTTATATTTAAAAGTTGCAAAAGGTATACGTAACAGTAAAGTTATGATTTTCATGTAAACAGGAAAAAAAGGGAAAAACACCTGCCAAAGGATTTACAACCCAAGTTTCAGTAACGAAGATTGCTGAAAATTAATTAAGTTTTTACTCTTCCTGATCAAGCATAATTTATAACAGTCAACAAGAAGGTGTGCCTCCCTTATCGCAAAGATTGTATGTATAGGAAGGGTCAGGAGGTAGGATACTAGGAATTGAAGTCTTTATACAAGCACTTCAGGTGGTGTTATCATGGGTAAGGCTTCTTGGAAGCCAAGCCCAGCTAACTATCCCCACGTGGTCATGATATGAAACTCCCACTGTCTAAACTTTGACCAGGAAGGCAAACAATGACCAGAGGTCATGAGGGTGATGAGGAAACAATGCCCTGAACGGACAAGTTACAGCTGACCACCAAGTAATAGATAGAGCACGGTTTGAGGCTGAATACGTGGATATAGAACTGCCCTGCTCACCAAGGGGATTTCATGTCTTCCAAGATCATTATATATATACATACATGTATCACCCTGTTTTAAACTGGATAAGATACAGAAATTGTAGCTGACCCTGCGAACGTTCCTGTACTTTTTGCTACATCAATAAATCTCAAATAAACTTGATTACCTCTTACTAAGCTTTAGGGACCTGATATACACTGTATATAAAGTTATGTGTACTAGTATATATAGACAAACTTCATTTTTCCAAGAAAATAGCCTATTTCCTCAATTATCTAGCTATTCAGGACTCCACCAAAGACACACCTTTACAAGTAGATTATTTTTAGAAAGGTTGTTACACCAAACTGGTTTCTACTGTCTGAATCGTGACTACTTCACCCATAAAGTAATTATTAAAGGGTACAGATGGGTGTGAGAGACAATGTTAGGTCACTGCAGGAATGTGCAAGTCACCATAGTGGGTGTTCCCATTGTCATCTGTGGATAGTTGTATTTTAAGTTGACACAATGATCAGTGATGCAGTTTGCAAGTCATGAATTTTAGAGACAAAGCCATTTCTGCCAGTGTTATTCCTTGGTAAAATACGCATAATGAGGAAATTATGTAGCATATCTTTCTGGTCACCCAAGAAAAGTTCAGATTTGTAATTTTGTTGCTCGATGTGTTCTGATCTGGCCTTCTCTGATTGGCACTTCCTCAAGCCTGGGGCCATCAGGCATTGGTCTCAATCATCTAACCCTGTCCTGCAAGCAGCTAATTATGTGGTCACTTTTCCCATAAGATAGACCAACACAATACCGTTTTTCCTCTTTAGACCAGTAACGATTAACCGATCTGAAACATTTTTCTTATCCAAAACGGTGTAACGGTCCTCAGTATAATTTAAAGTGGGCCTAAGTATGTAGTCACTGTTCCCTAATACTCACTGTTTAACAACTTGCCATATATTGTATCCGAAATATTAGAATTGTTGTTGAATAAAGTTTGATTTGATAGTCTGCTTCCTCCTTCCCAGATGCTGTAGGTCCAGACAACGCTATCAACACCAGTGGCAACGAGGATGACCATCACTATGTAAGACTAGTCTTCATCTTTGCTATTATTTAGTACAGTGACGTAGTGACTTAGAAATCAAGAAAAAAGATAATAGGCCATGAAAGAATATCATGCAAACTTTTCTCAATTCCAGAAAATTGTTATTGGTAATTCTTACTACTGACTTATACATGCACCTTAATTTATCAATCAATAAACTTAATAAACTTAATGTGGAAGTGTCTGTTGTGGTAGTGCAGTTGCATGTTACATGATGTGTATGCAAAGTCTTGTATCCCGACTAATATGATTTTCATACGTGATGTCTATTCGTAATTTCGTATATATGATAATCTATGTTGTTAGTCATTAAGCAGCAAAATGTCCAACACTTTGTTTGTTTCAATGTGTGAAACTTGAATTGTGTCCACAGAGGATGAGAAAGCTGGTGATGGAGGGAGTTCTGGACACAGAGTCAGTCTACCTGAGCTGCCTGGTCGTTCTGCTGAAGGTTAGAGGTCATCTGTTGCTATGGTTACGACATTTTGACACAGGATGTTACGATCAGGATGTTTTATGTTTTGGGTTGGAGTGTGCTTCTCAGAAATACGTATTACACAAATGTAAGATTGTTGTGCTGATTGTTTAAAAGTTTATTGCTAGTGATGTGATTTTATTTTTGCACTTTTGTGTCTCCACTGCGAATTCATGAAGCCAAGAATATGCCTTCCTTGTATGACTACTATTATATACATGTACATGTACTACCAAGTTGTTTCAACTGTGAATTTGAAACACAGTGAAAACCACAAAATAAAACCACTGCAAGCTACAGTAAATCTTACAATTACAAGTAAAGATGATTTATCACAGTGGTTAGAAGATTTTTGAGGTACAAGTATGACGTCCTGAAAACTGCAAAAGAAAACAAGAGTTCCGAGATCTCATACCTCCATGAAATATGGGCTTGATATGTAAATGTAAATTTCTTCTTTAATTACGCAAATGACCTCTGCATTAACATAATATATGCATCGTGATGTTAACTTTTGATTAACTTAAAGATGCCCCAAGTATGACATTCCCATCATTCACCATTGAGAAATCATAGATTTTTTGCATTAATTATGCAAATTAGGTCATCATTTGCATAATTAGTATCTGTTGATGTTCCATCTGCCATAGGTTACATACATTACATGTATGAAAGTTCTATAATGTAAAACACTGTAATTATAGAATTTCCTCATTAATTATGCAAATAAAGTCCTCATTTGCATAATTTACAGTTAATTATGTACATCTCTCTGTCAGATACCTACACACCAAAAATGATGAAAATACAATGTTCCTATCTGGACTTATTGGCTTTCAAAGATTTCGCCCGAAAGTCCCCTGCAGTTCCTGAACAAGCTGCTAGGGTGACCATACCCACACCACTTATTCCTGACAGGAAAAGGTATCTGTCACCAAAAATTCAAGACCATAGCATGTTCAGGACCAAAGATACAAAAACCGGAAGTTCTGCTGCAGTACCAAGGTCATCCACCAGGAGACCCATATTTGACCTTGACCTTTGTCTTCCTAAGACTTATCAGCATACCAAATATCATCACAATCCATAAAGGCGTTATGAAGTTATGCTGACTACAAAGTTGCGGAAACACACACAGACACACACACAGACACACAGACACACAGACACACAGACACACAGACAGACGCCGCCAAAAACAATACCTCCATTTTTCATGGAGGTAATCACTGTAAAAGCTTACTATTTACAGTAAGTCTTACAGTTACGAAGTAAAGATTTTTTTAACTAACATCTGATTGAAACAAGCTGCTTTTCTCTTTAGTACAAGAAGATTTTCGAGGTGTCAGGGACGACGTCCCAGCCCGTGCTGTGTGCTGAGGACTGTGCTCTCATCTTCTACAAGGTATAGTATAGTGCTTGACACTTCCATTCCATGTTAAGTCGTGACACTACACTATGTACGTCCTGCCAGGATAGACATGAATTTTATGAAAGAACATCAAACAAGATTTTGGCTGATCAAGTTTGTCAATTTCTGAACCAGTATTGTTCATGTTAGTTGATAGTTGATGCTATTTGGTAGAGTTGTTATGTATGTTAACAAAATGACATTCCAACTAGCTGGTAACAAAGCTTGTTCCTTCCATGATTATGTAAGATTGTACATGTATCTGATGGTGTGTAGGATGATTATGCATTTGCAATACCCGGTATCTCAGAATAACAGTGTTGACATTTTCACACAAAAAATCTTTCACAAGGTCCGAGAGCTCCACAACATCCATAACGACTTTCACAAGGGTCTGCAGCCCAAAGTCAGGAACTACACTCCTCAGCAGGAGGTCGGAGACTCCTTTAAGTTACTGGTCAGTCCTTCTCATTTATTTATTCTATTTATTTCTGTTTTATTTAAACAGGGTAGAGACCTCATTATAAAAAACTTAAACTTTTCTCCAACTCAAAATTTGACTCACCAGAAATTTAATTTACCAACTCAGATGAACTTTCATGCTGAGGGTAGAGACCTCAGTGCTATTCAAAAATACTGCTTTTCAGGAATGCCCTGTAACAACAAGTGAAACATCAAAACAATGAAACGTTCACATTAAACAATACAAAACGTTACTTAATAACCAAGTGTCAAAACGAAATCGTTTACCGTAAATCAATGTCGTTAAGCCATGCCAAGGTCAGGAGGTCAGAGGTCAACAGTGTTGCTTCAGAAGCTTCTTAAACGTAATATTCTTGTATTATTGCAACAATTAACACAAGACATGGTGACGGCACACTCAAGTTTTTTCAGCATTTTTATGCCGTCACTAATGCGTGGGTGGGAGGCAGAATTACAGGGGGTCAAAAGATCAGACAGTAAATTTGAAGGTCTCAGGATCTGGCCTGGAGCCAGTAAGTATCTCAGGTAACATTGAAAACCACAAAAACAAAACCTCTACAAACTTTCTGTATTGATATGGGCCCTGTGCCTTAAATAAAGAATGAATTGAATTGAATTATAGATTTTTTAATAAGAATTAAGATTTACAGTATAAAAGAAGGCCTGGGAAACTCCCCCAGGATATTTCTATACCTTCCTAATGTGGGTGTTTAATTGATTGTGAATGGACAGTCTTTATGTAATAATCTAAAATTTTGAGCCTTGCTTTTTTACAGGTGTCCCAGCTCCCAGCTTATGAAGACTACCTGAAGAACTATGAGCGTGCCTTACAGACCATTGATCGCTGCCGGCGCAGTAATGAACAGTTCAACAGCGTTGCTGCCGTAAGTCCAAAACTAACTAATGTTTCTTTCAGAGCAAAAGATACTGTAAATCACTTAATGTTCACGGTAGCAAAAGTTCGCAGTCTGAGAAAAATGGACATGTTCTCAGAACTATATGCATTCGTGTATGCAAGTGTAGCAAAAAGTCGGCGAATTATTTGTTCACAGAAGTGACCGTGAGAACCGCAAGTATAAAAGTAAAGTATCAAAATCAAAAAAATCAAGATTTACAGTATTACAAACAATCTAGGTAGTCTAAACAGTGAATTTGGATACATGTGTAGAAGCCATGTGTACATGTAGTACATAGAAAGACACTTTTCATGCATGAAAAGGCATACAGCACTAAAGTATGCAGTATTCAATTACATCATTTAAGCCACACCCTGACCCTGCTTTTGTAACATGATAATTATCAAAAGTCCCCTGAAGGCCCTAAAGTCAGTGAGCTCCCAGGCTGGCACAACTTTCTGTTTATTTGTTATTTGTATAAGGGCCCGGCATTAAGGTTCAGTAAATGCCTTGCATGAAGGGTACATGTACAGTAGGCCTTGCATGAGGTGACCAGTGTCGTTACAGCTTACACAAATATGGAGGAGGAAGTGCTGGGTTCAGTGGTATTAAGCTGGCTTTGGACTATTCCACTTCCTTGCTTCCTTGCCACTCCTTGTCCATTCTTGTACCACCTCTTTAGGCTCTTTCTGTATTGACAAATACTGTTGTTTTCACCTTCACTAAATGCTGTGGCCAACATCAGTCCAGTGCTTACATGTACATGATGCTATGAAGTTTATGTGGACAAGGTTAATTTGAACCATGCGTTCCTCTTTTGAATAAAGCATTATGAATAAAGTCTGTATACAAATTTTTTATGAAGAACCAAAGCTGGTGTGTTACGTAATGGGGCAGTTACATGTATACCGGCTAGACAGATATAGATACAGAAAGTGGGCTGATGTAGCTCTACAGGCCAATTTGTCAATCACAAATATTCCAAACAGTGTGCTTCAGATAATTTAAACATGGTCCCAGAACTCCCGGTCTGTCTGTGAGATGCACTAACGCATGTACCATTGTCTGTGCATTGTTTACACAAGCAATCTGGAAAGATGGAAAGATTAGAAGATTCAAAAAAATTTAAAAGAAGAGGGATGATGTCACTCTACAGTCTAATTTGTCGATCACAAATATTCCAAACAGTGTGCTCCAGATAAACAAGGTCCACAGTCTGTCTGTGAGATGCACTAACACATGTACCATTGTCTGTGTGCTGTTTACCATCTAACTGTACCGTGTTGTCTCCTCCGCAGAGTGTAAAGAATGGAGACAACCATCAAACTCTGGAGGGTACGTGCAACATTCCATCTGTCTGAGCTAGCTATAGGCATCTCGAGCGCAAGGGAGTTCCATTTGGAACTGGGAGTTGTCTCAAAAGTTGTGGGGGACATAGGAAACAGTAGAGAATTTGATATTCAGTATACATGTACTGCATACATGTATGTACAAATATATGATTGTATGTATGTATAGATAGATAGATAGATTATAGGTACTTAATACATGTAGGTAGATTATAGGTAGGTAGATAGATTATAGATAGATACAATGTAGGTACAATGTAGATTGATTGATCGATTGATTGATTGATTGATTGATTGATTGATTGATTAAATATGGATATAAAGATTGATTATGGATAGATTGATAGATTGATTATAGGTAGATAGATATGTCTTACAAACACCTCTTACAAAAATGTAGCTTGTTGCTAGTATAATGTCTTATCTGAATAAATTCGGAGATACTGAAATAATCTAACTGCTCCTGATGATGTTGAGGGTTTGACATGTTTGGTTGTGATGTTTCAGGCCTGATTGTGCGACCAGTTGAGAGGGTGACCAGAATCACACTTGTCCTACAGGTAAGCCTATCGCAATCACAATATGGATTCATGGATGGATGTGAAGAATACAAAGGGAACAAAATGATAGTGATATAAAACACAAACCTTTTCTGTTTTTGAATGTCAGGAGAGGTGAACAAAAATAAAGATTGCAGCACAAAGAATGCAGTGCTAAGAACTTCCATTTATTTCATTTTTTCAAAAAGTTTATTTTTATTTTGTCCATCAGTACAAAACTCTTGATTGTATTACAGAAGTTTGGTTTAACAAAGGAACTAGACTATATGAATACAAAAACAAACATTGTTACATAGTTTCTACATGTTAATTTTCCCCAGGACCTGCTGAAGCACACCCCTGTTAGCCACCCAGACCACACCTCCCTGAAGGAGTCACTGGAAACATCACAGGCCTTCCTGGACAAGATCAACAAGTCTGCCTTCTCAGCTCAGGGGGACAAGACTGATGGCATCTCGGTGAGTCTTAGACTTAGACTTAGGGGCTCCTGTGTCGTCTAGCACATGAGGCCATCAGAGTGGTCCAGCAAGTTTGGTGGCTGAAAAAAATTTCTTAAATTTGCTTAAAAGCACATTCGCAGTTAGGGAATGAAAAAGAGACATCGTCCCAGTCTTTCCATGACTTTTTCTCCCAGACTTTTGACTTTACCATTTTCTCTTTTCGTTTTATTCCTTAAAACCTTATTTAACATATTTACTGTTAGCTGTTTTGTGTATGCATTTAAATCAACAGTCGTGATTTGCTTGTTCTCGATACAAAATTCTGTGTGCTTAGGTTCTATTGACTTAATTGGTATCAGTAGGACTTTATGTACATACATGTAGTGCATGTACATGTACATATCTGTTTTGTTCCTGTTTCAATTTGAGAAATATACCACTACACCTCAGTTCTAAAAAAAGTCTATCCTCCCCCAGAGCCCACAGCGTCATCTAGTGAAGGATGCCTTCCTGGTAGAGCTGTCTGATGGGAAGAGAAAACTCCGCCATGTGTTCCTCTTCCCAGACCTGCTCATCTGTGCCACACAGAGAACCACCAGGAAGTAGGGAAAAACAATATATACCTCTGAATAAAGAGACTCTTTTTACACAACCAGGAAGTTTGTTCAGCCGACATTTCAGTGACCGTCTGTCGCCTTCCTCAGGGCAATTCTGACTGGTTCACATTGCACTGCAGCACAGGTGTCGCTGTAATAGATTTACAGGGAACAGTATCTACAATGTGGTCCCAAACGTACCAGAGTGTGATATATATTATGCATCTATTAGAGTGACACCTGTGCTGTGCAATGTGAACAGTGACTTACTTACTTATTCAGTGACATACAAACCTGATGAAACTATTTACGAATATGAGCCTCTGTGTACCATAAAGATGAACATCTGGTTTCTATCAAATATTTGCTTCTGTCAAATATTACATTATGTATGTGCCTGAGTCTATGACTCACATCCTGCCCAGTACATGTAGCTGAATATTGCATGAATTTGATGACTGAGTAAACTGATGGAGGGTGGCTGATTTCATATTATTTGTGGCTGAAGAAAGTTCTCCACACTATAACCTGTAATGCAAAATCAGAAACTGAGTAATCTCAGTGAAGGTAATAAGATCTGCCAAAAACAGTTACTGATTTTGGAAACAGTCAGACATTTCTGGTAGCATTCACTACCTGTCATCAGTGACACTGGTGAGATCTCAAGATCAACAGGTTTATAACCACAAACTATTAACTTGTATGCAAATAATGTGAAGACAGTTTATTGAGTGATCTTTTTATTCCAGGATCTTCAGCCGTGAGTCGATGCGGGAGTCGTACGAGTGCCAGTGGTACATTCCTCTGGGGGAACTCATGCTGATAGCTCATGATGTGCAGCATATAGGTACAGACAGGCTACTGCATTTACCTTGTGATTTCCGTCAAGATTGGCATAATGTTTTCCATAGGATTTGTCCATAGGATGATTCAAAGACTTACTGATTTTGGCTGTGTGAAAATTAAGAGTTTACTAGACTATGTTTGAGTTCATGGTTGAAATAATAGTAACACCGTGTAAAATTTCCATGTGAGCTATCTAGAAAAGAAAGAAAAAAATCTTAATGAATAGATGTTACTACATGAAATATCCAGTGTTTTGAATTTGTCATGAAAGTTCTTTGGTATTGGTAGTTACATGTTTAAAGTCAAAGCTTTCCTTCCAACACAAGAGATTGAGTGACTTCATGGTTGAATTCAGCTCTATGTGAGGACAATCTCTTGTGTTGGAACGAAAGTTTTAACTTTAAACATGTTTTCCACCTCCTGTGCCCTGCAGACAGCAGCCCAGTACCCGTGACAAGTGAAGTTGACATGGAGAATCACAAAGCGAAGGTGGCTGAGCTCAGGAAGGAGTACAGGAAACTGAAGGCTAGCAACTCTGATCAACCTGCACATGTAGGTGTGCCCTCTAGCAGGCTGTACTGGTACTGCAGCTGAAAACCACTCCTCAACAACTCCAAACACGCTTAGCAATTTTCTTCAGTACTCCTTGCCACCAAACAGCAATCTCTTCTGAATTCTATTAGTGGATGTATCTTATTTCCTTGCAACTTCTTATCTATTAGCCTATAATTGAAATAGTTAAAAGCTACATCAAATACAAATGTTTGTGGAATACTATTTTGTCTTAACTGTTAGAACACATGTTGTCTCTTCCATGTCTTTGACTCTCTCAAATTCTTCCTTTTCTGCCCTCATGCCTACAGCGACGTGTAAGTAGCTTCTTCACTTTCTTGATTAACTGACTAGTACTCTTAATCATCTACAAGTAACTAACACTGTTTCTTGCAACTTCCTGCCCAGTATATGTAGTACCTTCTTGGTTTGTCTCTTATTTATTACTAGTATTGCTGGCCAATCGAATATTATTCTTCCAAATCATACTCTTTGAGTAATAAGGATGATGCTTCAATGATTCCCTAGGCAAAGCTAACAGTGTTAAGTTTTTGCCTAACGTAAATACTTTTAAGTAAATTCAGAACTACAGTGGAAAATTGTCTACCATTATCGCAATTCCAAAACTTGTTATCAATTCCTGGTCTAAAAAACCAAAGAGGATAGATTCAATTTGTTTTGAAAGAAGGATTCTTGATTCTTTTTCAGCGGAAGGTTGTAAAGGGCATTGAAAAGGTCAAGAAGAGGCTGGCTGAGCAGGTACAAATTATTCTTTAATACTGCCATTGACAACTTTGTATTACTGCTTTTTGTCTGTTATTGATGGTTGTGTTCATACACATTGGTATTGAAAATGTTCTTTGGTCTCTAATATTATTATCATATTTACTATAAGGTTATTAGCCACATAAATTATTTGCATTGTTTTCTTGAAAAGCTGTTCTAATGTATGTTACTCTTGATTTTCAGGAGGCTGCGTTGACTCTGGCTTTCCCCAGTCTGCCTTTCAGAGTCTTCCACAAGAATGGGAAGGTAAAAACTACACAATGTCATTACAATCAAACAATGACGTATACGGACTGTTTGTTTTATGATACATGCCCTAGAAGTAACCCACAGAACTGTCCGATTCACTAAGAGCCCTATATACTGTACTTTGTGACAAAGTTGCTGAACGATACGCAAGTTCTGTAACATACTGGTTGTTGTACTGGCCGAACAGGCTTTTCGTACTTTTAATATTGTATTTTCTATGTATATGTAGTGTATTGAATTCTCTATTGATAATATTCACAAGTTTTTAAATTGTAAAAGAGTCTACAATTCAGCCATTTAGGCTGCCACCGACTTTTAAACTTGTATGTCTATTTATTTGTTTATGAGAATAAACCAGTCATCATCATCATCATCATCAAGTAAACAAAAGGTTACTGAAGGTTGTAACTGTACATTGCTTTCATTTGTACAGAGAATAGACAATGAAAAGTTGGAATTTCAGTTGTCTTGGTTAACTTCAATTGTGTTTTTACAGACCTACACATTCCTAATGTCATCTGGAGACGAGAGGGCTGAGTGGAAGGAGGCCATCACAAAACTACAGGAGAAATGTAAGGCTGACTCCAGCATTACATGATGTATAATCCCCCATTTACTTTGTTGAACATTGTATACAGATGATACATGTAAGTAATGTGCATATGCATCATAACATGGAGATATTCCACACATGCTACCATGATGTATACTAGCTATTAACTATTGAATATTAATTAATTGGTATATTTTCAGAAACTTTCAATGATAAGGTATTTTCTACAATCTGTACCTGACATTGCATTTGTGTTTTTCCAGATCCCTCCAGACCATCCCTGACAAACTATGAGGTTCAGGCATTGCTCAACTCCACTAGGGTATGGCCAATTTGTACCCACTCATGGACTGTCAAGTTACTAAGATTCTAAAAATACATAATTTAGTGATTTTCACTTGCCCAAAGTGGACCATTCATTTTGCAATGTTGAAATTTTTTTCAGGTACGGAAAGTCAACACAGTTGGATCACTACTCCTGAATGACAGTGAGTAGAGAAATTACAATTTTGTATATGTTCTGAGTCTTATAAACTGCAGAAGTATGATGCATGGCTTGATGTCATCACCCTATAGCACACTTAAGTAGCATCTACCAATTCTCAATTGCTTACGGGTTAGGCAGCAGGAAGAATCTGTATCTGTATAGCCAGTATAACTGCCCTTCGTAGTAACACACCAGCTTAGATTGTCAAAAATCATTATTAAGATTTCTTCTCAAGTGGCAATTTTAGAAAGATAGATGACATGGGTTCCATAAATCGCTCAGAGCTCAAATAAAGCTAAAAGCTACATGTACTAGGTGTTTGAATCTCATGGTAACCATTATTCTTTCCATCATTCTTTGCTGTTTGTTGACAGTTGTTTTGCCCTGTTCCTCTAGGTGATGAGCCGGCCCTGTCAGGCAGCCTGTGTGTGACAGTCCAGTCAGCTTCAGGCTTCACAGAGGAGGGCAGTAAGTGTTCAAGCTCAAGTTTTGTTTTGTTCACTTGTCCTGATTTTTTGTTTGTAAAAATCAAAGCACAAAGCAGGGGTGCATTACTCAATCCCTGCTTTTGTACGATGTTGTCAAATTGAATAAATTGAAGTTGTCAAGTTCAAGTTCAATAGACTGCAAATTCCCTAGTCAGGACATCACGCAGACGGGAGTATGAGAGAAGTGTCTATCATTTCATGGCAAAAAAAGGAATCAGAAGATCTTGTTGTTTGCAGTAACACATTTTCCACGAGAAAGTGTTTTCTGTCTTTGTATGCCATTGTAGCAGTCTCTAACATCATAAAAAACTCTCTGGAACATCTTTTTCCAATGCTGTAACAATGAAAGTCCATATGCTGTGTCACAGTCTGTATGGTGATTTTTAGTAATCTTTCTTTATTTAGTTTTGCACAGAACATTACAACAAAGGGTTTTGTTTAAAAATATTGCTATTTCATCCCATATTGGGACATGCAGTTTAGTTATATGTTGCTAGATGTCTCTTCACCACTACATATACATATGTACTGTTTCATCGCACAAGTATCTATGTACAGAATTTCGTAACTCTGAAAACGCTGCAATCATTGCACACTGGCTGTTTTCCATAGTGTTAGACATACACGTACATGTATCACTGCTGACATTGTCCTGTGTTACACTGTTAACTGAGGATGGCTATTTGCCACAAGCTTCCGACTCAGAAGCCACATGAGGTCACACACCCCATGAATGAGGACACTCAATAGTCTTTTTCGTCAACGAAGGACTACCATGGAAAGATACACATATATCACTGCTGACATTGTCTTAATGTATGTCCTGTGTCTCACTGTTCTGTAGGAGTACACTGCCTCATTGAAGTAGATTCATTTGGCCACTTTGAGCACAAGGCTAGAACTGGCACTTGTACATGCACCACTGAGGCGTCATGGAACGAGGTACATCTACCTGTTTATAACATTCATAAACATAAACAATCAAAACTTTGCAACTAACCTTCATATACATGTATGTGGTTTGATTTGTGTGATGATGTTCATTATGATTTCCTTGTGGTCACGTGAATGTACTTTTCCTAAAGCCAAAGATCAACAAAGATGTGCTAAGCCTGGCAATTGAAAATACATCTATAGATTGACAATTTTAGGTTCTTTGCAAAAATAAATAAATAAATATTTTAAGGAGTCGAAGTATATTATAATATTCTCCACTTAGTTGCATGCCCTGAAAAGTATTATGTCACAAATGTAAGGTGTATCTATTCCATTGTTATCAAGCAAGGACCTCAGCTCATGCTCTGTTATACTCAATAAAGTTATAAGTAAAGATCTAAGTAGTTATTCTAACAATTTAAAGACTTGTAACAAGTAAATGCATTGTGTTTACATTCAACCTTCTACAACATGTGCATTACCAATGTATCAATGTGCTACACTTAGGCTCCCTTAGAATGGTATAAGTTAAATATTTTTATTACAAATATTTAACATCTTCTTCCATGTTGATCCCAGGACTTCGATGTAGAGTTAGAAGAAGCCCAGACTCTGAGGGTGTCATGTTTCTGGGAGCCCCCCAGAGGGGGGACGCTCAAACCCAACCAGCACTCCCCCCCTGGTGGCAGGAGGTCTCCCATACAGAAGATAGCTGGGCCCAGGAAACCCTCCATGTCACACCCGCTACACCACTGTGGGGCTGCTGACATAGAGGTGAGTTTGGTTTGATTTGGTTTGGTTTATTTAGATCTCATTCATATTAGATATATATATATATAATAGTTGGCCCAGGAAACCCTCCATGTCACACCCGCTACACCACTGTGGGGCTGCAGACATAGAGGTGAGTTTGGTTTGATTTGGTTTATTTAGATCTCTTTCATATTAGATATATATATATAATAGTTGGCCCAGGAAACCCTCCATGTCACATCCACTACACCACTGTGGGGCTGCTGACATAGAGGTGAGTTGGAGGAGGGATTCATGGAATAATTTCTAGTTCAGTTTTTGTTTTGTTTTACCTATCATGTTGGCAGAATGTACTGTGCATACATGAATCCTGGATTTTATTAGTTTATTCTCTTATACTCAACATGTCAATAGAATATACTGCGCCTGCGAGAATCCTGGATTTTTCACAGCTTTATGGTTGGATGTTTGGTCTACGTTGCATCAGAATTTTGCCAGTTGCAGACGATATGTTTTCCAGCACAATATTTAACAGCTGGAGACGGTATGTAATCCTTAAATACATGAATACAACCTTATTTGAGATGGTCTGCCAAAGTGCTGTACACAATACATTACTGGTTTTGTGAAGGTGCAGTATGTTCTGCTGTTTTCCCTGGTGCAGATGCTGCCATCTTGATTTAAGGTGTGTCAGAGTGTATCAATTACAAACAAAACATTGCTCACATGGACTTCATTTGGGAGAGAGAATCATAGCTAGAATGTAATCAAATTCTTTGTTTTGTTTTTGCAGCTTTTGAAGCAGTCGCTTGAAGACAACAGAAGACATGATATTGAAGTGGTCCTGAATGGAAAGGTTTGTGTGCTTTTGTCTACTAAAAAGAAAGAAAGAAAGTTGTTCTTACAGCTAAATGTGTAAGAAGAAAATTCAGTGCCAAGAACAGCATTGGATGCAGTTTTGGTAGCAGATAAGGAAGAACATGAATGTAGGGACAACAATGCCCCAGAAAATGATTTAGCACCAAGGACAGTAAAATGTATAGTTGCAAGAGCAGACAAGAGCATTAATGTACTAACACAGTGGAAGATTATTCAGCACCAAGGACAGTACTGTGTATGTACAATGTATGCAACAGTAGCCCATAGCATGAATGTAAGAACAATACACTACAAGACAGTATGTTACTGTGTTGTCCTGACTTTTGCTTACATGTATATGTGTTTTACACTAGATCCGGATCTGTCTGAAGCTGCGTCACATTTCACAAGCAGCGACCCTGAAGAGGCAGAAATCCATGGCCATTAAAGGACAGAAGGGCATGTTTGGAGTGCCACTGGGAACCACTACAAAGTAAATACACAAGAAATACAGTGTGAAAACTTAGCAAATTGAGATCCAGTATACAGTATATGTAAAAGAAACCACCATTTTTTTTTTTTAACCGAATTTAACGTCATTTTTCCCCAACCGGGGGTTAGACGTGCTTGCACCAAGTACAAGTCTTTTTTTGAAGCAGGATTTTTACGGCTGGATGCTCTTCAGTTCAGTTTATTGCAGAATGCTTGTCAGCCTATGGTGGAACTTTAAGCTTTCTTTTGATATCCTATATTATAAACTGTTAAAAATCTGCATTGCAGAAGTTTAACTTTCACAGACACTTTAGTTAGAGACACAGCTCAATAGGACTTGGTCCCAGCTGATACAGGCCGCTAGATGATGATGAAAAATCAGTGTAGACAAACAGCTGCATTTAAAATTCATGTCTATTTTTTTGTAGTACACCCAATGGAACTTGGAAGTCATTGCTTTTGCCCACTGTTTTATACAGGATTGAGAGAAGACCAGTCCCACAGATAGTGGATCTGTGCACACAAGAGGTGGAGAAGAGAGGAGTGGAAGAGTTGGGGATTTACCGAATATCAGCCGTGTCTTCAGACGTGCAGAAACTCAAGAAGGCCTTCGATACAGGTCTGTATCTGAATCTGTATAGCTGGCATACTATAACTGCTCCTCGACATAACACACTAGCTTTGCAGGCACACGGTGCATTGGCAGCTGGCTATATTACACCAAATGACCTGTTACCCCTAGCCTTTGAACATCTAACTCTAAACATTGTTAAAAGCTTTCTAGCTATTATTTTACTATTGTACTTGGTGACAGCAAGTGATAGTTCTAGGAAAAAATGAGTTTTTGAATACCTCAATCCTTGGTTGATAACTCTGGTACTTGAAGGCAAGGCTATTTCTTCTTCTTTTTTGAGCTGGTATTGGGGCCATAGGAGGGATGTACAGTATATAATGGTGCCTGTGGTCTTTTTTGAATGCCCAATGGACTAAATGTACTAGGTCGCTGACAAAGTTGGTCCAAGTACAGACTGTTACTCAAGTGATATATAGTGAAAGATATTGAGAGCACAACTCAACAGTTGAGGTATAAAACTTTAGTGCCAAACTGTAGTCTAGATATAAAAAATTTATTGCCAAATGGTAGTCTAACTATAAAAATTTGTGGCCAAATGACAACCTTGGTAGAGAGCAGGTGGTAGAGAGCAGGTTAATTTTACGCTACATGTACACATAAGAAGAGAGTACAAAGGTGATGTCCTTGGTTCTGAAAAGGGAGTCCCTAACAACTACCATGTGTACTTAGGCCACACCAATTTAATTTCTAGGTTAACGGATTCGCCCGCTTCATTTTTTTCTGATTTGGAAATAAAAATAAAAATAAAAATTCAGAATCAACTGCAAAATGCTCATATTTTGCCCTGAACAGTTAAAAACAGTCCTTTTCATCCTAGTTGTTACAGTTATTCCATCTTTCAATGCAGTGGAATCATTAGAAGTTCAAAATTCATTGTTTGAATTTTGAACCAGCCTGGTGTGTTGACTTCATGGCTCCTATCGTACAATTTTGGGCATAATAGGATGCCTAGGCCTGTTTTTATCTTTTTTTTTCGCCCGCCCGCTCCATTATTTTTCTGGAAAAATCCGTTAACCAAGGAATTAAATTAGTGTGGCCTTAGTGAAGAGTAGTACAGTAACATTTATAACCATATCCCTGCTGCCTAACCCCTTAACAAAACAAAGTTGATGCCAAAAGTAACCCCAGCAAGGAGAAGGTTATCTTTAAAAGAATAAAATGACCTTGATTCTCACCTTTCAGAGATACATCTAAAAAAATGTTTTCCCTCAAGTAAGCTTTTAGCAACCCAACTCCAACCCTCTCAAACAGTATGTTGCCTCAGAGGGACATCTGTACGGGAGTAATGCTCAGTGAGACAGCTATCCAAAAATGTATTCTGCTTGAGGGCATCCAGGGAAGAGACATAAGGGAGGACTTTTATCACCTAAACCCCCATAACATCAACCCACAGGACAGAGGCAAATGGCAGGCTGCCATCAAGCATCAGTGTGCAAGCGCGTCAAACCCTAGGAGCACAGGGAACAACAGACGATGTGTGGGGTCGCGTGGCATAACGGCAGAGTGCTCGGAACCAAGAGGTTCCGGGTATGAGTCCTTACATGCCACCGATCTTGTGTCCTTGGGAAAGGCACTTTACACGACTTTCCTCACTTCTCTTAGGTGTTAATCATGATAGTGGGTATTAAAAGAAAAGCCAAAAACCCTCAGAGAACAGGGAACAACAGACAATAAACTGGATAGTGAGTGAGTGAGTGAGTGAGTGAGTGAGTGAGTGAGTGAGTGAGTGAGTGAGTGAGTGAGTGAGTGAGTGAGTGAGTGAGGGAGTTGACTAACACATTTCCTCTGCCCACAGGGAGTAAAGACCTGCACCACATGATCCAGGAGACAGACATTAACGCCGTGGCGGGGGTTCTCAAGCTGTACTTCAGGGAACTACCGGAACCTCTCTTCACCAACGAGCTGTACCCCAGCTTTGCTGACAGTCTCGGTAAGTTAGAAGGAGGAAATAGAATATCCAAGGAATGCAGCAATCGCCTACTTGGAACACCAGTTAGAAATGGAATTTAAAGAAACACAGACATATGAAAATGATACAAGAATTTGAGGACTTCTATTTTTTCAATGAATATGTATAGAAATGTAGGAAATAAGAATTATGATTTTGTATTTTACAAGCTGATTTCAACTTGATACTGGTATCTGTCCACACAAGTCAAGAAGTAGCTCTCCTTGAATTTTCATGTGCTGTTAGGTGACCTTGAAGGCATGTGACTCTAATAATTGCCTGGCAGGAAACATCAGTTGGTTGAGTTTTGGCTGATCTTTCCATCCATTACTTCTCTACTTCTTTATCATGTTATGATAACCTTTACAAGAGATGACTCATGTCTTGTTCCCCTGCAGCCCTGGCAGACCCTGATGCTAAAGAGAGAAGCATGTTGTCCCTGTTCCATGAGTTACCTGAAGTGAACCATGCCACTGCCTTACACATGATGAGGCACCTCAGGAGGTAAGGCTTGCATTAGTTCAGCTGCTGACTCATTTGAAGCAGCACTTACATGTTGGTGGTAGGTGTATTGTAATTAAAGATTGTATGTATGTGTGGGGGGAGTTAAGTCCTTCCCACAACCATTGGGATGGTTGCTTATGTTGGCACCAATCTCTCTAGCCCATTTCTGTAGCCCTTGGACCACACATACAGTTGCGCAATCACTACAGCAGGGGGCTAGTCCACTGACAGTGGTGTGTGTTTAACTACATGTACAATACTCTTCCCAAATGCTGAGTGCTAAGCAGAGAAAGCAGTTGGTGCCATTTTTAAAGTCTTTAGTTTTCAGACTGATCGAGTATGAAAACAGCTTCAAAACTACCAAGAATAATAGATGTTGATAAAAGCAATTATGTCCTACCTGGGCCGCAATTACGTTCGATACGGGTGTTCCGGCCTGTGTGATAACTAGCGGTACAGCCCGGGGGTTCTTTACGCGTACGGCCCGGGGCTTCCAAATGTTCCGTGGAACGATTCGAACGCGTTTCGGCCTAACCGCGTGCACCGATTTCGAAATTCGAATACAAAATTCGGACATTGGAATTGATGTTGTCGCATTTTTTGGGTTTAGGGACACAAAATTTTCGCTCATTTTGCATTGAAAGGCGCGTTTTCTTGGGTGGGTATGACATAAATAAAATACAACACGGCCGTCGGGCGATCCGACGCACGGTCGGGCTGGTACCTCGGGCGATACGGAATACACCGTGTTGTATTCTATATGTATCAATTTTCCCCTTTTCCTCTCCAGAGTTGCAGAAAAAGAAGAGGTGAACAAGATGAACATCAACAACCTGTCGACGGTGTTCGGTCCGACGCTGCTGCGCCCCTCGGAGGCCAACTCCCCCTCGGACATGTCGAGCGCGGCGTTTGTCGGAGACGTCCTGACACAAGTAGGAGTGCTACAATACCTGCTGATGCTGCCCGTATCAGAGGATAGACGGCAGGCATTGTCGTCCTCTGGAAGTGTGGACACGCAGATGTAACCACATTTGCTCTTGTGCTACTGTAGTTGAAAACTTCAAAATCTGCTTGACATAATAAGTTATGTGTAAGAAAGTGCTACAGTTCTTTCTGCATGGCCTTAATTTTCATTTTATACCAATAGTGTGCAGGTATTATTGTCCTCTGGAAGTGTGGACATGCCCATGTAACCATATTTTCTGTTACGCTACAAAAAGAAAAAAAATTAACAGTTCTCGGTGGCAAATGTGCCACATTGACACATTGGGGCATCAAATCTGGAGTGTTTTTTTGGCACACAGTTAGACCGATTAGCCGAAGAGGCTCGGTGGGCATCACTCCACCGTACAGGGAGGGAAGTCATGTTAAGTGCCTTTCCCAAGGACACAACATCGGGGCATGGTGAGTATTGCACCCAGAAGCTATTGATTCTGAGTCCAATGCTCTAACCAATGCCACCATACTTTCATGCTACTGTAGTTGGAAACTGCAGAGTCTGCTTGCTAATGTGTAAGAAAGGGCTTTCTTCCTGTGTGGCCTTACTTTTGATTGTATACCAGTAGCTGCCACGGCAATACAAACCGGATGTTAGATTGTAAATAGTTTTTCTAATGCCCATTATGACTTGTTAGGAGAATTCTATGCATAACATTTTACCTGCTTTGCTCCCAGAGAACACAAGAAAGTACAGAATTGTGTAACGTAATTTAGTTTACTGCCTGACAGAGTATGTTGGTAGTGCTTTTTAGTTACTGTATGTAGTGAAATACAGTCTAACATTGATACAGGTACTGGAGCAATGTAATACCTTATATTTATGTTATCATTATTAATGATAATAAGTTGATATACCACCGAATGTTATTATGTGTGCAAGACCATATGGACTTCCTGAGAATATATTTGTTATATGGTATTGGTGACGAAACCAAGATTAGTATGATTTTTCCTCTGTTATAAGTTATATCTTTAATTGTTTGATACAAGCATTGACTGTCTTACATGTAGATAGCTATTAAAGTTATAGCTGCTTTTTTAATCATTGCATACACTGTTCTTGCTAAAAAAAAAACAAGTATTTATTAGACAAAATAACCAAACCTGAGGAAGGGTATTTCCTTTCAATGTATATAATTTACTTCTGAATCATTGATTCTTACTTTCATTCCACCATATTATTTGTTGGTTTCTATAAGATTTTGGGCAATGTGAAATGTTGCAGTAGATGTGTATTGTGTCATAGAAAAAGTTGTTCCTGGCATTTTCTTGCTGTGCATACATGTATCGTCTACTGTTAACATGTTTTACAAAGCATTGTCTTGTTGTGCATGCTTTTTTAAAGTTTGGAATGCCTTCAAGTTGTAACCTGTAATATAAGAACTTAAGTAGCTGTTATGTTTGAGAAGGTATCACAATAGAATCAGCTGCTTCAGCATGTAACCGCTCTGCTTCCAACATGTATCATGATATGAAAAGAATATTGACTGAGTTTAAAGTTGTGTTGAATTAAGTTAGCTTTAGACACTCACTATGTAGAGTGTCTTGATACTGTGATAAAGCACTGTACCTACATTGTATTTCATTTGGCTGCTAAACATTACATCTCCCACCATTCTCCATTTCCAATAGGGTTGATTAACATCTAATTTGAATGAAGAGTTGTTAATTGTTTGACTAGAATGGACACATATTTTTTGCAAAAGTGGTTTATGACTTATCTCTAGAAGGAATGAAGACCACTGATGTTCTTTTAAAAACCATCAGTCCTGTTTGTTTGGTAGCTGAGGATATGTAGAATTAAATTAGATTGACTCTGTTTTTGACAATCATGAATTAAGTGACTGGAGGCTATGACAATGGGAAGCAATTATCATGAACTGGCTCTGCTATACAGAATGCTTTTATTTTATGGGACCATACTTTGCAGATATAGGTTTTACTATAATTTTTTAATGGCAATGTCACCTCTGTACTTTATACTTACCCATGTGTATAGCTTTTGTTGATTGTAGTTTTAAGCTTTCTGATATGAATTTTATTTCATATACTCATCAGAGAGATGACATATCTGTATATGTAGCCTGGTACAGAGAAATATGGCAATTCAGTCTTAGTAAGTATTATCTAGTATTATGCTACCAAATGTAGTAAAATATGTCAAAGCTGTTGACCTGTATCAGAAGTCAGAAAAAGGCAATGTAGTTGGCCATCATGCTTGTAAAATGCAGATTATGGAAATTTGTTTTTTGCTTAGGAAAATCCCTCTGAAACCTTTGCATTTACATTTTCAGCTACCTTTGTCCTGGTTACCTGTACTCCAGAAGTTAAGAAACGTTGGATATTTAAAATGCATTCCTAAGTCTATCTACTCCTGTCAACTAGGACAGGTTACGGTAATCAGCTATGGGCGAATTATATTTTTCCCAGCCAAATCGTTTCTATATGTATTTCTTTGTTGTCTTTATGTTTTAGATCTGGTTTCATAGATCAGAATGGCATCCATTGATTTATATAGACTGAAAGTAATACACTAGATGAACTTGACTCAACTACACGCTTTTTTGAAGAGGTTCTTTTAATGTAATGAAGAATGAATCGTGTACACAAGATGTACTTGAAATGTATGATCGTAAGAGGTGACGGTGTCACTGCTACCTCCAAATCACTTATTTATCCAGTGGTGAATAAAATGGCAACTACTAATGATATCTACATACAGCTATGTATGTATGATGTATATGATGAAATGCACCCGAGTTTGTTTGAATGTGGACATGCGAACACAAACTTTTACTCCACCGCCTTCGTTTCAAATCTTCGCTTCTCTTCAGTTTCTCAAAATTGATATAATTGAAATATATTAATTTGCTATTTGATAAGAAGCATATATCTTAGCCGCTTGTCGTAGACTGCTTTAGCAATATAGGTTACTTTGAAAGCATACAGGGCCTCGTTAATACCCGTAGATATGCATTTAATATTTGTTTCATACAAGTTTAAGTACTATGCTAGATCATTGCAGGCCCACTGTCATGCCAGCTAGCTAGCTAGCTAAGAAAGGTCTTCGGTGTTGTCTTGATCTTGTCGTGGACGTTCGTACTTTGATTGTCATTCCAGGTTGTCGTCGTCGCTGACTCCATCGTACGACCGGCGCCCGAATCGGAAGGACGGCATGTTCCCGACAACTCCGCCCGCCCGACCGAACCTCAGGGCCGGCTGGTTCCCGCTGCGGAAGAAGTTCGCCAGGCTCCCTGTATAGTGATGAAACAAAACAGGATTATATAGTGAAGGGAATGCGTTTGCCATGCAGGCTTCCTGTAGCTGAAAAAGAAATAATGGTTATATCATTGTCATTGTACAGGCTTCGGGAAGCGGCTGGAAAGAGTCAAAGGCGGCCAGAAAGACATCAGGGGGTTGTTTCAGACTGAGAGAAAATTTGGCAACGCCAGCCAACTCCCCTGGTACTAGTATGTTATCTGTCTTTCTGGCCGATATTGACTTTCTAGCCGCTTCCCGAAGTCTGGTAGAGGCTACATAGAACCGCTTTACCGCTATGGCCCGTACGCAGCTTGTAAGAGCATAAAACGTAGAATAATTCGTTCTTAACCGGGACGGGGGGCGGCACAGACTTACGGGCGCTGTTGACTCACTACGTCACGCTCCCGGAAAGTCACGTGCCAAGATCAAATGGGTCAGTATAGCTGAAGAAAGCCTAATATTTTTTCAAAATTTTACGCATGTGAGTTATTCTCCCTATCTTGGATGACAGTTTTATCAAGAAAGACACATTCGTAATAGGTAACGTGAACCATCTGCGGCTTGTTTCACAGTTCTATGTCAATTTCCCCAATGACCATTGTTCCTGTCAATATCGAATAATTCCGGTCTCTTTCATATTTATCTCTCAATTTCATACTCCCTTAAATACTCCTCCGTGGTCAATTTGAGTCAGATGAGATTACCTTATTGAACGTAGCCTCTATCATCCAATTGTTCTGTCCATAACGGCTAGAATAAAACAATTATTTTCCCGTTATATATGACCTAGGTCGATGGAAAGGTGCCGATAAAATGACATACCGTGGTCATTTAAAAAGGGGTTAATGTGTAGTCGATGAGGAGGGTTAACCTTAGTGTATAGTTTATAGCTTCTCTTTCTTGATGTCAGGGCCAAAAATCTCAATCGACGTTGTTCGATGTACCATTGTATTACTACTTCGGAGGTGTGATTACTTGCATTACTTTCAATATTTTGGGTCTATCACATATACAATAGCAATGTTGTTGTTTTTCTGATAGCCAACCTACGTAGCAAGAAAAGACTAGACTATGTAGTATCATCTCCTGTATGCCTCTCTCCCTACTAAGCTTCCGATATCAAGCTAGACTGAGTTGATTGAAGTTCACCTGGACAAAAACACCGTTGCATGGCCTTGCATTAGTTGATCTTAGTTCAGACTTCTCTTGTCTTAATCTCTGCTAGGCTCAAATGCGTCACTAAAATGGTGGAAATTGGCCAAATAGCTAGACTGAATAATTTGCCAGATAGAGACGTTAGTCAGTCCTAGGTGTACATTTTGTGACCCTCAGAAACGTGCTTTTCATTACCTGCTCTTTCTTCCAAGTTCCTGAACGGCACGTCTGCGCTAGCGCCCCTGGCGGACAGCTGGAGCATTGCAACCACGCACACCACAGCGAGTACAACGGCGGTCTTCATGTCTGAAACTGATGAAAAACAAGGCGACAAATCGTTAGCAACCATTTAACATAACCGTCTGCTGTACTTCATTATCAGACTGAAATAAAAGTACTGACGTGGGTTAGTAAGAGTAAAGGAGGTGTAAACATTGGCGCCAAAATGCTTACTACAAAACAAGTGACGGGTGCCTTAACGACTGTCAATTAACCTGTTCTCGTTTAAAGCAGCTCATAAACGTCTGTTTGCTACGATGCTTTTGAGACACTGTATTGAAGGGGAGTACATGTATTTTGAAATGCGTTTTGTTCTGGAAATGGTGGGTGTGGTTTGCAAAGACTCCGTGGGCAGCTGGAATAGTTAGAAATTGGCCAAATTGGTTGAATAATTTAGCGGAGGAGTTAGCCGTCTAGAGGGATGTCATTTACTACAAACTGACTAATATTTTGCCCACGCGTATTTGCTTGAGTAATAATTCACCTTTCGCGTTCTTTTGGGTTGTGGGCGTTCTCATAATTGCTGTGAGATTTATATACATGTACTAGAAATTTAAACAAAGACTACGTTTTAGACAGAAAGTCGAAGGCGTGGGTCTCACGACGGTTGAACAAATTACGACCATCGTGTTTCTGACGGGAAGTTATTAGTTAGTAAGTTTGCCTTCCGCCTCTACTTCGTGTCTGATCTGCAGATCTGCTTCAGTAGGAACATTCCTGTACCCCCACCCTTGTCTCTTGGAGGCGAACTTGTTCCTGTTACAACAACTGCAAAGGGCCTCGGGTTTACTTTTGACAGTACTTTATCCTGGCAAGCACATGTAAAGTCAGCAGTTTCCAAGGCCTCCAGCAGGCTGCATTATCTGCGGTTACTGACAAAACAAGGAATGAGTGTCGCCGACTTGGTGCAGGTGTATCTGTCGCTGATTCGCCCTATACTAGAGTATGGTCATGTTTTGCTCGTTGGCTGTAGTGACGAGCTGTCCACTAGTATGGAACGAGTACAAAAACGCGCTGTGCGCATCATCTCCCTCGGGGGAAAGCGAACAGTTCCAAAGCTCCCTTCTTTGAAAGAAAGGAGGGAAGCGGCCGCTTTGAAGCTGTTCACAGCTATGATAAAGCCTGAGCACCCACTACATGACCTAGTGCCCCCCCAACGGTCCACAGCTACAGGTAGATGCTTGCGGAACGACAGTGCCTTCACTGTGCCAAAAGCCAGGACTGAGCGACTGAAAAGGTCGTTTGTTCATTGTGCGGTAAAACTGTACAATGAGTCTGTTTCATAAGCTATCCCATGCTGTATCGATCTGCATCCAATTTTGTTATCTTTAAGCTGTTATTGTTCATTGATTGTATTGTATTATGTGTTTTGATTATATTGTAACAAACTATCCACTTCAGGGAGACTCTTGTCTTTCCCTGCATATGTATGTTTGGTGGTTGGAAAACCAATAAATAAATAAAGTTATGAAGTCTGTGAAATTCGCCGTGATACGGGTTTGCCCAGACAAATGTCATGGCCGTTTCTATGGCGGTACTCTAGGCCACAGCAAGTAAATTTTATGGATGACTTGGTAGACTCCAAATCCAACGCGATAGGGCGAAAAAATAAGATTCCTACATTTTCAAATTTTGACATCATAAACCTTGTTAAACAAGAGATGATATCTTTTGTGCTACGTTTACTGCATACTTATCTGCCACCCACCTTCCGGCATGGCGACAGACATCCTTGCCCATTTTCGGCATGTTTACCACTGTCAGAGGGCAACAAAATTTTTTCTCCAAAATCAGGCGAAAATTAATGCGTCATCCAAAAAAATTACTTGCCGTGGCCCTACTTCGGGTCTGTGAAATTCGCCGTGACGCGGGTTTGACAAAACTTCTTTCTAGACAAATGTCATGGCCATTTCTGAAGGCGCTACTTTTTTGTTTCGTTCTGAAGTTGTAACATCGACCTTCTAGATCTGCCAGCCCATGGCGACGTCGAAAGTTCACAGTGTGGGAGGAAAATCAACTTTGTGAAAGACGCCCGTTAATTTTGTTCTAGAAACGTCCCAACAAGTGTGCTAGTCTACATGTCTTCATAAAACACATCGTTAAGCCTCGTCCTCTCGACACCCTGTCGTATCATGAATACAAGAAGATATTTCTAAATGAAGTGTTGAAACAGCCTCAGTAAATCTCACTATAAGATATAGATCAACCGAATACAATTTACGGATGGAAACCTTCGATATGACGTCCTACACCGAATGAAAATGTATTAGTATGAAAGTTCAGATGAGTTGGTAAATTACATAAAGAGAGTCGGCCTGGTCTCCAACTCACTCAGAAATTTCTCACCGGAATTGCTGTGGACACTCGGGTCAGAAAGCTGATGAAGACCGAGTGATTCGGCCGAAAATTTCGGCGAGTAAATTTCTTGGAGTTGGAGAACAGTTTCATTCTCATTTAAAGAATGAAAATGTATTTTTCTGTAAGTAGAACATTTTGGCATTTCAGAAATTCAACAGAGTGGCCAAAAGCCGAACGAAAGATCAACTAAATCAAACTAGCATTTATGAACTGAACACTTGAAGTTATTTAGAATGCAGCATCTTCGGATATGCTAAAACGGTGAAATATGGCAATAAACTCAACTGTGCCGCCAAAGTCACCCATACCGAGGAAACATGATACCACAAAACGGTTAACTTCACATAATTTACAATCTTGTTTTCTATTACCCTTATCAAAAACGTTTCGCTTTCGCCACCTACGATAAAAGATTTATACATGTATTCTATGTCCATCCGGGATGCCGTAAAAAGAATACATTAAACAGTCATAAGGACGACTAGAGTATCAAAGTCCTGGGCCTTTGGGACGCGTCGAAGAGGAACATACTGAAAAGCCAGGCGATGAATTGTTGGAAGCGCTCCAATGAAAATGCTTACATTCAATTTTGTCTGATTAAACCTCTGAGGGCGTGTTTAATATTCACCCGCCGTCGGGCAGGACTTATCGTTCTAGAACAGAGGGACGGGCATTCACCGGCCCAACCGATTGTACCTGACCGCTGGAATCACTTTTGGTCACCCCCTGACACTGTTTGACCCGCTGGGTGGATGTTGTGGTCGGTTTTTGGCCCACAGTCAAAGAGGACGTAAAATTGGATTCGTTATCTTCTGACATCATTGCGCGTCTTGACAAGTAAGATAACAAAGATGTTGAGCCTTTAGCATTTAGTAGAATCCATAATAAATCTATGTAGTTAACGCCAACATGGCTGAAGTGTCGTCCTGAAATCATCTGTATCGGTATAGCCGGCATAACTGCCCTTAGGTGTAACACACCAGCTTCTGTATCTGTATAGCCGGTTTAACCGCCCTTAGGTGTAACACAACAGCTTCGCAGGCACGCAGGGGGGCGGCAGCTGGCTATATCACACCAAACGACTTGTTACACTCGATCTTTGCACATTTAATTACAGAAATTGTTTAAAGCTTTCTAGTCATATGCCCCAACTTTGCTTGATGGCAACGAGTTCAACTACAATAGTTCTTGATATGACTAGTACTGTTAAATACTAGGTTTGCAACTGCAGTTTATTTATTTATTTATTCATCTTAAGGACGTATGGGTTGTTCCTTCAGCCCCAAGGGGCTGATTTCCAAGGGAGCCCAATTACAATGACAAATAACATATAAAATACAAAAAGTAATATAACATAAATAAATTAACATAAATTATATAAAAATACAATAATAATCGATGGTCATTATGGTCATTATGGAGGTCAGAGGTCAAAATTCCAACTTAGGAAATAATAAAACATATGATAACTGAGAGGTCAAAATTCAAACTTAGGAAATAATAAAACATATGATAATAACTGAACGTAGAAGTAATGAATCATATAAACAAATCAATCAAAGTAATGAAACGTAACAAATCATCGTTGTCAGTAAATCGTCATTACAGTTACACACCTTACACACAGTTCTATGTGACAATAATCAAAGCATTTCCGTTCTAGCAGTAGGACAATCAGTGTCCATCTATAACTTGCGTGATCTCAGTGCATATCAAGGTTCAGTTTGTAAGAACACCGTTTCATCATACACCAAGTCATCATCGTCGGAAAGTGATGTTTATCAGTTGCATACTGGATGAGCTGCGCTTAATTTGTGATGACTTTGCGAAAGGCGTCCCGGGTTCGATCCCCTGACACGTGCGATGTTGTGCCCTTGGGAACTGCTCTCTCCTTGCTGTACGGTGGAGTGACGCCCACCGGGCTTTTCGGCTAATCTTTGATAGTCTCTGCTAACACTGATGAAGACACAGACAGAATTGGTGTCGCCAATGTGCCAAGATCTGCACATTTGCCACTAAGAACCTACATTTTTTGTGAAAGGCGCCGATATTATCTAAAGTTGTACATAATTAAGTAATTTTATGAGAGGGCAATTACATCTAGTCCCGTGTCACTAAAGTCTAATTGTGTCGGATATATTAATTTCTGAAAACTCGCGACACACTTAATGGACTAATATAATCTTACAACAGTGACACTTTTTGACAAGAAAATGACTGATGTGCGCTGATTGGAGTTTATTTTCAGTTTTGGATTCAGGAAACAAATCTAATGATCGGACCAATCCATCTCGCTTCATGACAGGAGCCGTGAAGGACAGAACGGTCATATACTTTGAGGAAAAGAGATCAGACCAATGTATTCACAGCTGCAATCGTGAGTTTGGGATACACATATTCAATCCACTGGTTGCGGTCTACTGATTGAAGTAACCTTACCTAAAAGGATAACTAATGTTTACGAGCTTGGTGGCTAGTTGAAAAACCCTGACATCTGTCCTAGGGTGTAGCCCACCAGGCGGCTTATAGCTTACATCTGTACCCCAGAGATCTAAGCACATAGTTGAAGACTGATGACTGGACAAATGTATGAGGACAGTGTCCCTACGTAACGTCGTCTCTGAAGGTGTGTAGTCGTCTCATTGTCGATGTTCAAACCAGAACCATGGACATATC